TCCAAAATGGCACAATGTGGGCTGCATTATTGTAGTCTTCATTTGTGCGTGCCTAGCATTTTTCTTGTTTGTATAACATAACTGTTTAATAAATACTGTAAACATAATTTATTCATTTACTTATGATTATTTCACGTTTCATGACCGTGTGGCTTAAAAATATTTGATTGTTAACTGATCAATAAGACATTTGAAGGCAGAAATCTGTAGGCAACAGACACATCGCATTATTCAAATGGTGCATTGCATAACTTGCAAAGAGGCTTTAGCATTCAAATATTTTAGCAGGTAGTTAATTGTTAAAGTTATTCAAGTACAATTTATCTACACCGGAAGTGTCTCTCCAGTAGGAATACCACGAGACTTGGCTGTTGGTATGACGTCGGTTCAACTGTTCAATACGCATACGGAAATTACAATTACAAAATAATATTTTTGCCTATAATTTTTGAGTTTAAAGCTTACAATATACTTACTATGTTTGTGGGACTCTTGTTTTGAAAATGGGACAGGCTTAATAAAAGAGTAAGCAGCAATTTTGAGAAGCAGGCACCTATATAACGTTCACAGCTCTTCAGAATGCAAAATGCAGGATATACGGATTAAATATTGTGCTCAGCATAAATGAGTACACCCTATTTTGAAAATGACTATTTGTAACCATTTCCCAGTGAATATAGGCAATGTGTTTTGGTGCATTTAAACAAAACAGATTTATTAAAAGGATATATATATGAGCAATATCACACGAGTAGTGCGATATGGCTGTATATCGGCACTTGTGGGAGGTGTGCGGCCTTAGTGCCCCCACCAGTGCCAAAATACAGCCATATCGCACTGCAACGAGTGTGATATTGTGTTTATACAACAGTTTGACGGCATAATTGTGTATATAAAAACAAAATTAAACATGGAGAGTCTCAAAAACCCTTTTGTATGAGGAACTACTTTCTTCCACGTTGGATTCAAATCATAAGCTGACAGTTAAACAGTTGAGCAAGCATCTTTTAAACTTTAGATAGTGTCTGCTATTTGCTGGCTGTATGTGGGCGAAGTAATACACAAAGGGGAAAGAGGCTGTAATATATATATATATATATATATATATATATATATTTACAATTTAGTCACCAAACATATTTAGAAATTGAAAGATAATACAATTAAATTCATGCAAAATATTGCAAAAAAATATTTAAAACTTACATAATTTCAACTACATTCTTATTTTTACTTTTTGCTTCTCTTGTTTTCTGACTAATGTATATGCACAAATATAATTTGTATATTGTATAACTTGTATTGTATAACTTCCTATTAAAAATATGAATTTAAAAGACAGATTTGTAAGGGGTTTACTCGTATATGCTTAGCGCTGTAATTATTCAGTGTCATCCCAAAGAGGCATAAGATGTGTTTTAATGTATTTTGTTAGTATAACTTGTATATTATGAAATATTTAGTGAAATATGTTTGTAGTTGAATTAGTGTTATTGACTCTGAATTAGTGTTTATTGCATGTTTATGCATCATGTCTTATCACTCAGCTCTTACTGGCAAACTTTAGAAACCTTGTCTGCTTATGCAGAGGTTGATATTAATTCCTGCCTACGTTTTCATATACCTTAAAACATTAATACCTAATATATCACTTCACTCCTTGCTAAAATAAACCTCTCTACCTCTTGAGTTGAAAATATTGTCATTTAACAAGGAATCTACTCAAATTAAAATATTTTTTGACAACAGAAGTATGATTATTTTTCTCATGTATATTTCAGAGAACATCGCTGTCTGTGTGTGTCTGTGTTTGTGTGTGTGTGTGTGTGTGTGTGTGTGTGTGTGTGTGTGTGTGTGTGTGTGTGTGTGTGTGTGTGTGTGTGTGTGTGTGTGTGTGTGTGTGTGTGTGTGTGTGTGTGTGTGTGTGTGTTTAATGGAGAGATAGAGTGAGCTTCAGGCACTGACATGAGCTGCTGACATGAGATTAATTGTGGTTTTGTGTAATCATTTGTATTCATCTTCTTTCATATTTTTGTTAGTGACTGAAATAAATCTAGCCACAGAGAGCTGAAAATGTTACCATTACAGAAGCTGTGGTTAAGTGGAAAAAGTGATCAAGTTTCCTCTACAAATTTTACATTGTTGATGTCCTCTTTGAGCAACCATTCATAGCCAGAGACAGGGTGTCGGTTTCATAATAGGTCAGATGAAGAACTGGGAAAGGGAATAGAGCAAATTAAAGATAAAAATGTAGTTGATGCCAGTAGCCTAGGGGTTGGTGCATTGACACATAGCACTGAGGTGCTCACAGTGACCCATGTTTGACATTGTGGGACAGTAAGTAGACGCTGATTAGTATACCTAATTGATCTATGAGAAATGTAAGCAATAAGGTCAACAATGTATTTGATGCAAGTCCAGATAAACCCTTCTAAATGGTTACAGCTATTTTAAAATCACTTCTAAGCACACAAAGCTGGTAAAGATGGTAAAATTGTGGATATATAATTCTTCTTTCTTGTTCCAGTAAAAAGCCTAGCTGTAGCGTTTTAGCAGTTGGTGAAATGCCTTTTGAGACTGGCCACAGTAAAGAGAATTACAACAAACACGGCATAATTACAGTCTCTAAATCTTTAAGGGAAAGAAACCTTTTCAGTTTAGCAAATGATTTCAGGTAGAACAAACTATCCTTTGTCACTGTATATTTATTTTCAAAATCAAATTTAAGCCCAAGAGTTTTCTTTTACATATGGTTGGACCTTGGCAGAGAGGACCAGAAACTCCTCTGGCCAGAGTTGCCGAAAATGTTAATTTTGCTTTTGTTTTCATTTGAATGCAAAAATTACAAGCCATTTAACTTTTAATCTAATCAAAACAACAAAGCACATCCAATAAACCTCTACTCTACTTGTACTAAAAGATAAAACAATAAATTGTCTGCGTAACGATGATAGGAGATCTTCTATTTCCTAAAAATGGCACCCAGATTAAGCATACAGAAAGAAAAGGGACCTAAAATTGACCTTTAGGCCATACCACATGACAATGGAGCATATGAAGAAGAAACATACACAATGCTCACAGAGAAAATTATTATTATTATTTTTAAACCAGCCACTTCAGGGCAGTACTTTGTATGCCCACTATCTTTTCCAATCAATTTAACAGAATACTTTCATCAGTTGTCTAATACTGCACTTGTATTTAGCAAAACAATCATCACATATTAACCTTTTGTGAAGATCTTGCAAACTTCTGTATGGTGCAGTGGGGTAAACCCTGACTGAAACATATTAAAAAAAGTTCAAGTCTTCGTACATGAGGCCCCTGCTGCTTTCAAGAGCTCAAGATTTAAATATATACATTCTGTATACAAGAGTGGTCACTGCGTCCGGTTTAATTATTCTTTGAACAGATTATTAACAGGCCTAACATTAACCGTGTGCGCGTGTACATTCTTTTATTATCACACACGGTATGTTTTTGCTAACAGTTATTTTTGTTTATGTAATAATAATTATTATTTTTTTTACAATAATGTTTCTTTAATATGAGATTAACTCCCCGTTTATGTGTAGTTAATTGGCGATCTGGGACCTTTAGCCTGGACAGATTACAGTGCAAATTTTAGATACATGAAAATACTTTTTTAAATGTCTTTTTTTTTAAAGAAGGGTTTTGTAAAACAAAAAGTGCATGTATACAGCTATATTTTGCTTGTTTTTACACATTTAAAACTTGTGGCTAAAAAAATTATTATTTATTTTTGGTGTGGTCAGAGATAAATTTGGTAAAAAGTTGTGTGGAAAAAAAAACTAATTGCATGGCGACAACCTATTTGCTCATGCTTATTGAGCAAGCTCATATACAACACACACTAAAAGTGAAATGAATGAGGAGGCATGTGGACATAACACAACATCTAAATTGAGTAATTTTAGCATGTCAAAGTCAAATTTCTGCATTTAAAATGTATTTTTCCAACAACAAAAGTGTGGCTAGTAAAAATGTTGAACGGCTAGTGAAGTTGGAAAACGACTAGCCACAGTGGCTGGGGATCAAAAAGTTAATGTCAAGCCCTGACAGAGAGGGAGAGCACAGGTCTTAGAGGAGAGCCCGAGGGAGCCAGAAGATGAGCTAGAGAGTAAACGAGACTGAACCACTGTTAGAATGCATGGGCTCCCCCCCCCCCCCTCTTCCTTGACCATGTGACCAAAACACTAATCTGAAACATTCAAACTGACCAACCAGCATGTTACAGTTTCTACAATGTGTGACCACTCTGCAGACCCCTGAAATGCATACCGTTGAAGTCAGAATTAATAGCCCCCTTGATTTATTAGCCCCCCTGTTTATTTTTTTCCCCAATTTCTGTTTAAAAGAGAGAACATTTTCTCAACACATTTCTAAACATAATAGTTTTAATATCTCATTTCTAATTACTGATTTATTTTATCTTTGCCATGATGACAGTAAATAATATTTGACTAGATATTTTTCAAGACACTTCTATACAGCTTAAAGTGACATTTAAAGGCTTAACTGGGTTAATCAGGTTAACTAGGCATGTTAGGGTAATTAGGCAGGTTATTGTTTAATGATGGTTTGTTCTGTAGACTATCGAAAAAATATATAGCTTAACGGGGCTAATAATTTTAAAAATAAAATATTTAAAATTGCTTTTATTCTAGCCGAAATAAAACAAATTACAAATATTACTTTATATATTTACATACTGTGAAAATGTCTTTGCTCTGTTAAACATCATTTAGAAAATATTTTAAAAAAGAATAAAAATTAAAAAGCGGCTAATAATTCTGACCTCAGCTGTATATGTTAGTCTAGAAGCTGGATTTGTATCAGCATTTATTCTGTGTCTTTTGGGATGTATACGGTTCGTTGGTAAAGACATGGTTTGGATTAAAAACAAATTCCTATAATGCTTTTCAGCATTTCAATGTCAATCTGCCAAAGTTACTTTATTTGTTTTCTTTCCCCAGATCCACCATGGACATTGCACAGACTGTAAGTATAAAAATTCCTTGTTCTTTTGTGGTCTCAAAAAAAACTGAGATGATTGAACAGATCTTGGATCTTTTAATCATGATAAAAGACCTCTGGCTAGTTAAAAACATAAAATTCCCAATAATAAGCTTGGCCATGTTTATTTTAATACATTTTATGTGCTATGACAACAACAAGATTTTTAAGGAACGGTACTATGGCGTATTGTCTCAAATCGTTGATAATTAAGTTACCAGCGTAATCCTTGTAGAAAGAACGGACCTCTGGTTTGCAACATCCTACTAAGTGGGCCATTTAATGACTGTACACTGCTTTATTTAGGTTCACTTTGCCAATATAAGACAAGCACCACAACATCAGAAATCAACGTGTTTGTTGGAAATTCCTCCTTCTGCATTGCCCAGAACGCCAGTTTTACAAACTCATCACAGACTAACATCACAGTGACAGGACTTCTGCCTGGAAACACATATTTCCTCATAATCAGCTGCACGAGTGTGTGCTGTGAAAACTTCTCCTCCAGTAAGTCTTTACCAATTCCAATCAGTGATCACTTTAAGGGTAAGCGTTTGAGTGACTTTGTGCATTGATGTCACTGTGGTTTAAAAAGGATCATTATAAACAAATATTTTTTTATGATTATAACTAATGCTTTTACCTTTTTAACTCTTAATCACTTTCTCTCATGCGCTTTTCTCATTCTTTCAGTCACTCACACTCTCAGTATTTCTTTGCTTGCATAACAGACTCCACCAGTAATCTGACTTTCACACAGCTCAACTCCACCTCAGTGTATGTGAACTGGACGGACCAGTTAATACCAACCAATCAGTCTTTTACACTTCGTAAGTTCCAGCCAATCACAATCATTAAGAAAGTCTTCTATACATTTGCATAATATGAGACATTTGTAAATTTGAGTGATTTAACTCTAATTTTATAGAGCAGATTTTTGTTTAATATAAGTATAGCATGAATGAAATGTACACTACCGGTCAAAAGTTTGGGGTCAGTTTTTTATTTATTTATTTATTTCAAAGAAAATTATTCTGTTCATCAAGGTGGCATTTAATGAATGTAAATAAATTGTTAAATGTTTATTAAAATATTAAATAGCTTCTTTCGTATTGTATGTTGTTTCAAATTTAATTATTACACTAGGCTTTAATGCTTTTATTACTATTATCATTAATAATAATAATAATAATAATAATAATAATAATTCATACTGTATTAGAGTGATTTCTGAAGGATCATGTGACTCTGAAGACTGAAGTAATGAAGCTGAAAATTCATCATTAAAATCACTGGAATAAAATATTAAATTAATTGATAAACTACCTATGAACTTTTATTTTATAGTGCAATAAAATTTCACAATTTTACAATGTGTACTGTATTTTTGATTAAATAAATAAAGCCTTGATGAGCAGGAGAAGCTTATTTTAAAACATTTAAAAATCATACTGACCCCAAACTTTTGACCGGTAGTGTTTACTTACATTTATATACAATGATTAAGACATCCATAAATGAAAACTGTGTCTTTATTTATAGTTTCATGTTTTCAAACTTGGACTTTTTCCCAATTCAGTACAAAAGAAATTTAACAGTATTTCATGGGAACTTTTGTCTCTACAATGAAACAAATGATGACCGGAGGCTGTCGGTTTCTAGAAAGGACATAAATATTATTCATTGCTTTGTTTTAGAGGTCTTTTCGAAAAACACAGTATGATGACTTTATGTGATTTTTTTTTTTTCCTTTTCAGTCAAGCTCACACATCCGTTTGTTCATCTGCATATTCAAATGCATTTTTTGTCAATAATGAAAAAGTTTTTAAAAGTCTCTTCTGTTAACCAAGGCTGCATTTATTTGCTCAGATACATTCAAACTGGTATTACTGGGAAATATGATTTAAATTTAAGATAAATGCTTTCTATGAGAATAGATTTTAAAATGTAATTTATTTATGGGATGAAAAGCTGAAAAGAATCCTGAAAAGTAAAATAAATCATGGTTTTCACAGTGATATCTTGCAGAAAAAAAGTGTTTTTTAACTTAATTTTTAAATTGTTTCATTTTTTTAAGACAACCTTAATGATGATAATGAGAACAATAATAGCTAGTAGAAAATAACAAATTTGATTATTTCCAATGTTTCTCATGTTGCACTGAAAATGGAGTTTATTATTTAAAATTTAGCCTGATTTTTTTGATCATAAAAATATTCACAGGTAGAATAATAAATTGGAGTAATATTACACAAGACAACTGGTCCCACTTTATATAAAGTGTCCTTAACTACTATGTACTTACATCAAAAAATGAAATACAGTGTACTTAATGTGTTTATAATGTATTTGAGAACACTTGTAGTGCTTTTGAGTTGGGATAGAGGTTGGGTTATGGACAGGTTTGGTGGTATGGGTTGGTTTAAGGGTGGGTTAAGGTGCAAGGGATGGTCAACAGTGTATTTACAAATGTAATTACAAAAGTTAAATACAGATGTAATTACATAAATGTATTTAATCAAGCATAAGTACACAGTAAATACATGTATTTGCACAATAAGTACATTGTAAAAACTATTAATTCCTATGTAAGTACATATTAGTTAAGGCCACTTAATATAAAGTGGGACCAGACAACTTTTAAACAAAAACAAATGCAGCCTTACATGTAAAATGCAACAAGCTTTTCTGTATTAGAGCTTGACAGTCTTTGGTCACCATCCACTTTCATTGATTGATAAAAATACATCTAAACATCTGTTTAATTATGAGTGAGTAAATAAAGACAGAATATTCATTTTTGCGTCTCTCTTGTCTGACTTGCACTCACTTACACATTTTCATGGATTGACAGGCCCTGAGCCTGTTTTTAACCTGTCTGTGAACTCCATCACTGTGAGCTCAATGATCTTGGCTTGGACGCCTCCGTATGGCAGTAGCCCATATTATAAAGTAGCTTGGGTTGGAAACCTGGCCTTTACTAACCAAACCTCCATGCAAATCTCATCACTTTCACCTGGCACCAAATACAACTTCAATGTTACCTCAGTGGCAACTGATAACAGCACTGAGGGTCGTCCTACTGCGATATCCCAAAATACAAGTGAGTACTGCAGGCAGAAAGAATAGTAGTGTTTCAAGGAGTCTTTACCATATTGGGAAATAAATTGAACCATGGTTTGTACAGTATGTGGATTCTAATGGGCTGAGATGTGATCCTTTGTTACCTTTATGTTTAAATCATGCTTGTTCAGATTGCATTTATTTTAGAACAAATGTGTTTAATACTGACCATTTAATAATAGATTCTTAAAGTTCTCTGCTCAAACACTAGCATACACTGTAAAAAAGCTGGGTTCCACACAATTCCTTCATGTTGTCCCAACACAAATCTATTAAGTTGGCTTAATCGATTTTACAATTTAAGTGGATTGAACATAAAACAATTAAGTTGCCCCCCCCCCCCCCCCCCCCCCCCCAAAAAAAATGTAAGAATTGTGTTGGTTCAACTCATTTCAAATGAGTAGTTTGAACAAACAGCAAAAGTAATTTTTGAATATATAGAAGATGCTAAATCGCTCTCATTATGTCTTTGCCAATAACATATATAACAGTAATAGCAGTATTAAAACTCTAAACACTCTGAATCGCTAGTTGGGAGAAGCACCTTTGCACTATTTGACCAGACAAGCAATAGTTGTCATGCATACAGCAGGGCTACAGTTAGGAAAATACAGTTCTGTAAATTTACAGATTTGAGTTTGGATAAAAAATGTAGTTGTTACTCCTATAAACTTTATGAGATGCTCTGATCTGTCGGCTGATAATCAGATTATTAAGACTATTGGTACACTCAACAAAATATTTAGTTTTGCTCATTCAAACTACTTTAAAATGAGCTAAAACGACTAAATTCTTGAAATTTCATTGGGACAACTTAATTTTTTTATGTTCAGTCCACATAAATTTGTCAAAAGTATTGTCCCTTGTATTGGGACAACATGAATGAATTGTGTGGAACCCTGCATTTTTACAGTGTATTCACAAGATTTAGCTGCTTTCACAAACCGCAGTTAAAGTGGAAAAATTTGAGTTGTCATCATTTACTAGCCCACTGCTTTTTCTTGTTGTACACAAAGGAAGAAAGTTGGAAACTAGTAGCTGTTGGCATCCATGGTATTTTTTTCAAAGACTACACATTACAAAAATTCTTCAAAAAAATCAATCAAGTCTTGATTAGAGCATCTCTTGTGAACATAAACTTCCTTAGGCTCAAACACAGCACTGGCTGCTATATTGCATGGCTTAGTATGCTGATTTGATGTTAAGCAGTACTTCTTATTAACAATCTAGAAAGCATTTGATCAATGAGATTCAATCTTGCTGAACCTAATTCTAATTACTGATCATGTGTTTTTGAATGGTAGTGTATGCATCTTAGTGAAGTTCTAATTGTCTGTGTACAGGTCCAGCACAAGTGCAGAATATCACTGTTGTGAATTACACAAACAGCAGTGTGACAGTAGCCTGGACAGTCCCTGACGGCCATGTGGACTCCTACACGGTGAATTGTTCTACACAGAGCATACCCAACATCAACGACAACAACACGACCATCAGTAGCCTCCCGCCGGGATGTCTCTACAACCTCACTGTCACCTCCATTAGTGGAGTTCTGACGAATGTCTCCAACATAGTGCAGTTCGCCACTAGTGAGTCAGAAAAGCTTCATATAATTTTTTTTCATCAGGCTAATATTTGAAAATATGTCTTTGAAGTGATTGTTTATTCACCTAAACATGAAAAATTAAAGATGTTGTTCACTTTTTTTTCCTTCAGTAGAATATGAATTTTTGGCGATTCATAAAATGAAAACCAATGGTAACTGTGACTTTAAGAATCAACTACAAATACAGGGAGGACAATCCCATTCTGCTTCATACCATGTCAAAATGTTGTTATAAGTTGTAATGTTTGCTAAGGCTGAGGGTTAAAGATAATTTTAGTAACATTTAGACTGCACAGAGCAATCATTCCACTTAATAAAACCTCAAAGTATCACCAGCAGCCACAGATATTAGTTTTGTTTTGCCTGTATATGTTTTATTTTTATTCTAAAAGTAACTTAGAATTTATGAATCACCAAAGATCACAGTTTCATCTAAAAAATTCTTGATGTTCTACTGAAGGAAAATGGATGGCAAGTTGTAGTTAACACATTTAGATTTGGGGGTGAGATATACATTTAATGCATTACTAACATATGAAGCATGATTTTTATTATGCGTATGTGATATTTCCCTCAGAACCTAACCCTCCTGAAGCAGTCCGAGTGAGCGGTCAGACATTTTCATCTATTTCATTGCTGTGGTCAACTCCTTTAAGCATGTCTGGAGTGGCTGTGTCCTATGGAGTGTCATATGTGCCTGTCCAGCCAGGGGTCAACCTACCTCTAACTCAAACCACCTCTTCAAATATGACAAATATTACAAATTTATTATCAGGCACCCAGTACACCATAACTGTGGTCACAAATGGAGTAAACAATCTCAGCAGCTCCTTTATAAACCTCATTGGGTATACAGGTAATGCACAGCACAGCATTTAATCTGAGCTGTCGATCGAGTCTTTTTACATGGTGAATTGTTGTATAATTTGTGTTTCCCCAGTTCCGAAAATCGTGCAAAATCTGGCAGTTTCTAATGTCAGCACTAATTCTGTCAGTCTGACCTGGCTTCCTCCTAATGGGACGTCCAGCCTGTTCTCCTACAATATCAACATCTCTTCACTCGGTCAGACTTTTTATACCACTTCCAACAGTTATCAGATCACGCAGCTGCAGCCTGGGACGCAGTATAATTGCTATGTCACAACACTCATAGTAGCCGGCAACATATCTGGACCCTCACAGTTCATACAGTGTAATACAAGTGAGTCTACATGCTACACATGTAAATGTAAATGGGTACACTGGCGTACATTTGTGTAATGTTTTGTTTAATTATGCATTTAAAATAGTTTTTTAAACATTCAAGCACAATGAATTACAAATTTGGTCCAACAAACATTTACACAATAATTAACAATAAAACAAGGGGGTCACGGTGGCACAGTGGGTGGCATGATCGCCTCACAGCAAGAAGGTCACTGGTTCAAGCCCTGGCAGAGTCAGTTGGCATTTCTGTGTGGAGTTTGCATGATCGCGTGGGTTTCCTCAGGGTGCTCCTGTTTCCCCCACAGTCAAAAGACAATGTGTTATGGGTAAATTGATAAGCTAAATTGGCCGTACTGTATGAGTGTGTGCAAGAGTATATGGGTGTTTCCCAGTGTTGGGTTGCAGCTGGAAGGGCATCTGCTGTGTAAAACATATGCTGGATAAGTTGGCGGCTCATTCCGCTGTGGGGACCCCTGACTAATAAAAGGACTAAGCCAAAAAGAAAATGAATGAATGAATGACAATAAAATATACAATATACAAACAATACATGTAAAATAATAATAAACGCATTTTATCACAAAATTAATATTTTTAAAAATATTTTATATATTGTTGTTATGACTAAATGCACCTGTAGCAGTTGTAATTTTGTATTATAAAGTATTTTTTTCTGCCATTTATTTTTTTGCCAGAAAATTATTAGTTACTTTATGTATCTGTCTAAGTGTTCACTACCTGGGTAGTTCCATATTTAATTTTTTGACTTCACATTTAGTCCTCTAATATAGTCCCCTTGATGGAGTGAATGAAAACAAGTGTGTGAATTTGTGCAATTTGTTTCTGCCTTGCTGGTTGATAAATCCCTCAGACGGATTAAATTTAAAGCATCTTGGGCAGATCATGTATCAGTTAATAATTAGCTAATGTCTGTTAGTAAACAGTATTTTTGTTTCTGTCATGTAGGGCTGCAAGATATATCGTTTTATGTAAATGGTTACATGTCCCAGGACCTACAGAACTGTGTTTAATAAATTTATTTACATGGAATTTATATGATTTATGTAACAACAACAAAATCTTACTTAAATCTACATTTACGTTGTATATAGTAATATACCTGCACATACACTTGTCAATATGTACATTTGCATTTACTACTTACTTCTATTAAAATATTTTTTTTTGTCCTGTCTCTGTAATTCTGTTGCACTGTAGAAGCTCTGTCACGAAAACAAATTCCTCGTATGTTTGAACATACCTGGCAATAAAGCTCTTTCTAATTCTGATTCTGATTTCAAAGCAAAAAAAAGCTTATTTCAAGTACCCCACTAGGAGATAATTTTCTAAAAAAAAAAGCAAAATAATAATAATAATAATAAAACTCTTACCTGACTGCTTAATTTTCACTTTTTTTCTTCTGACTATAAAAGCTAAACAAAATTTTTTACTTGGTCTAAGAATTTTTTTGATATTTGGAAACAAGACAAAACAGATTATTCAATTTCTGTACCTGAATACTGTTAGAGTCTTCAGAAAAAACGTCAAATAGAGCTATCTTGTGAAACTATTCATATTGTAATATTTGTCTCACTAAAATATTACATAAAATATATATATATATATATATATATATATATATATATATATATATATATATATATATATATATATATATATATATATATATATATATATATATATTTATATATTTATTTATTTAAAATATATATAAATATATATTTTATTTAGAACATAAATAAAATATCAGATTTCAACAATATCATGCAGCCCTCATTTATGCAAATGTTAATTTGATGATTAAATAAATTATTTAGACTTGCACCAATAGGATGCTATCTTGTGGTCAGACACAGAAATTCACTCAGCGTGAACTCTAGCAGTGTGTTACGGGTACTCTCTAGCTGTTGAGTGTACATTGCATGTTCACTTGTGCATTGTGGTATTGATTGAGGCACTTCAGAGTGGTTCACTGTGGTTTTAGGCACCACTACAATTGGGTGCTTCTTCAAACACTTAAGGGTATAGTGGGTGATTTTTGGATATTAAGTCAAAGTGTGTGACAGATACTTTTGTTTAACCACATAGCAATCGATCAGCTGACTAAACATTTTCCAAAAAACACATTTCAGTATAGGTGTAAACTGTTTGAAACAGTTTTGAAGCTTATGAGTTGTTAAAATCGCATGATCTAGAGGTTTTATGCACTGCATGGCTTTGTTTCTGAGGGAAGTATTTTAGTTTGTGTTTAGGACTTACTCTAGTTCACACCTAATATATGAGTTTAGTACAAAATATAAAAATGTTCATTCTCTTTCAGAGCCCCTGCCAGTGTCTAATTTAAAAGCCATTCCTGTGGGCACCACTGTGATACTCCTGTCCTGGACCCCCAGCACAGCTTTATATCTGTATAATGTGAGTGCAAACGGAACATGGTCAACATACAATAGTAGTGAGGGTGCAAATGTCACTGGCTTGACCCCTGGGAACAACTACACCTTTACTGTCATAACTGTGGCGAATGGATTGAGCTCTGAACCTGTAACCATCTCTGCATTTACGGGTATTACACTTAACATATTATTCAAACACTTTCACATGGTACTTAACCATTTTACTAAATATTTTTCAAATTGCATAGATATATATGGAACTACACATAAATATAAATAAAAAAATAAATAAATACATAAATAAATAAATAAATAAATATATATATATACAGTTGAAGTCAGAATTATTAGCCCCCTTTGAATTTTATTATTTTTTTATTTTTTTCCCAAGTGATGTTTAACAGAGCAAGAAAATTTTCTCAGTATTTCTGATAATATTTTTTCTTCTGGAGAAAGTCTTATTTGTTTTATTTTGGCTAAAATAAAAGCAGTTATCAATTTTTTAATCCCCATTTTAAGGGCAAAATTATTAGCCCCTTTAAGCTATTTTTTTCTGACTGTCTACAGAACAAACCACTGTTATAAAATAACTTGCCTAATAACCATAACCTGCCTAGATAACCTAATTAACCTAGTTAAGCCTTTAAATTTCACTTTAAGCGGTATAAAAGTGTCTTGAAAAATATCTAGTAAAATATAATTTACTGTCATCATGGCAAAGATAAAATAAATCAGTTTTTAGAAAGGAGTTATTAAAACTATTATGTTTAGAAATGTGTTGAAAAAATCTTATCTAAAATAAACAGAAATTAGGTTAAAAAAAATAAACGGGGGCTAATAATTCAGGGTGGCTAATAATTCTGACTTCAACTCTATATATAGAGTATATATATATATATATATCATATTATATCATATCACACACTTACAGGAAACGTTCTTTGTTTTTGTGTTACAGGGCTTGGTAAAGCAATCATTATTTCTGCGATTGGCAATACACAAACTATGACAGTGCAGTGGACACCGCCTGCCGGTACAGTGAGTTTATACAGCGCCAGAATCTTGCTTATGGATGGAACGGTTTTAAATACAAAGAACCAGACGAAAACCACAAGCATGATGTTCTCAGACCTGCTGCCTGGTACTCAGTACTCGGTCATTGTGAGCAGCATCAGTGGACCCGTAAAGCAGGACAGCGACAGTGTGACAAATGCCACTCGTAAGAACCTTCAAACACATGGAATAAGTTCCTTTTAATTACTTGTATACAATGCACGCATTAAAAACACACACTCTTATTTTGATGTATATTTATTTGACTACATGTTGGCTGTGGTTAAAAAGAGGAAGTGAAACATTTGCTTTCAGAAACAAAGCGCTGACTAGTTTGTTTTAATTAGGGACTTTTGCATTTTTGCAAGTTGTATTTGAGGGTAAATCACATTGTTCACACAGTTGTGCAGTTGGAGAGATGTTGTGGAAGGTTAATATAGTTTCTAAAGACGTACTTGGAAAAAAAGAAAAGCCTAGTTGGGATGTAACTTACTACTATTTTGTGATGCCATACTGTGGTGTTTACAGTACTAAGGGGAAACGGTTTTTGTCTACCATTGCATTGTTAGGTAGCTAAAATGCCAGAAAAGCTTTTTTTAGTTGAGACTAAGAAGCTTTGGTTGCTTTATCACAGTAACATAGCTATGTTGGCACAACATGCAGTGGTGGTTGGTGCTGTGTTTGTACTGCTGATTACTGATGGCTGACTCAAAAAAGTACAGTTTTACCCAAAGTACCTAAACATTTAAGAACTATCAGCACCTATAGTAAGCTAGTTTATCTTAAAATGTTTAGCATTACAGCTAGCTTTGCATGTTGTAATTGCATTTCTTTCTAAATATTAATTCGTTGAGAAGGCAGTCGTAACAGTTCATACAAACATCTCTTTAAGACATTTTTTTTTATAGAACTACATTTTTGTATTGAATTTGTGCTTATTTTTTTGGTGCATTGTTTGTCTGCATTTGTTAACTTTGTTTGCAAGAATATGATGAATTATCCAGAGGTGGGTTGAACCATGCTGATTTGAAGAGAGTGAACTAGAATTCCTAGAAAAGAAGGCAAAATGTTTAATTAAAGCGCTGTCAAAACGGATCCTAAAACAGACATGTTAGCTGTGCTTTCCCGGGCAGCTCCGCGGCCGGACCAACTAGAGGGGTGCTACATAAAGGACCAGAGGGCAAAGCCTTCGAAGCCTCTCGTCCCCTTCTTCCCGGAGGTGCACAGTAGGCTCATGCAGTCTTGGAGGGCACTTTTTTTCTGCTCGTGCTGCACGTCCCTCCGCCCTCACCACTCTTGATGGTGGAGCGGCCAGGGGGTATGTGGCGATTCCTCAGGTCAAGCGCTCGATTGCGGTCAATCTTTGTCCGCGTGGCGCATCTTCTTGGTGGGGTCCGCCTCGTCTCCTGTTCAAAGCCTGTAAGTTATCTGCCTCCCACGGAGATAGAGCTTACAAGGCTGTGGGGCAGGCTGCTTCCGCCTTGCACGCGATGGCAACCTACCAGCGCTACCAAGCGCAGGCGCTGACCGAGCTGCACAAGGGTGGGTCCAACCCAGGCTTGTAAGCTTCGCACCGCAACCGACTATGCTCTTTGGACCACTAAGTCCGCTGCGTGTGCGTTGGGGAGGACGATGTCCACATTAGAGGTCCAGGAGCGCCACCTCTGGTTAAAACTTGGCTGATATGCACCAAGTCGACAAAGTCCACTTTCTTGACTCCCCCATATCCCAAGCTGGTCTGTTCGGCGACACCGTCTGTGAATTCACCCACGAATTCAAGGCGGTGAGAGAGCAGTCTAATGCGATGTGTAATGTCACCTATCGGCGGGACCGTTAGCCCGCTCCGCACGCCTAACCATCCATTTCTGCTGCTCCTTGCCGTAGACGCCTGCCTACGAGAGCTGCCCCGCCCCCGCACACGCCTCTGGCGAAGCGAGCGCGTTGAGCACCTCGAACGCAGGCAGCCCCCCCTGCCCAGAGCGCCGCTAAGTCCGGTAAACGAACTGCGAAGCGTCCCTGGGACAGGTCATCTGGAAAAGAGGGAACTTGCTCTTTCCCCGCGGGGCCCCATTTCCAACGGCACTTTTTACTGCCATGAAAACATCAATGAAAGAGCACTTTTCCACATACCCGGATGTGACAGCCTGAAATCTGCCAGTCTGAGTAGCTATGCTTCTAGCTCGCAGGTTCGGTGCATTTCGCCAGTTGCTCACGAGTGCTGGGAGGACGGTCTCCTTTCTCCCACCCCTCGAGCCTCCTCTCCGGAGTTTGGGTGTGGAGTGAGAGCAAACCTCTCGCCTCCAGCTCTTCCGCGGGACCTTCGCGCTTCCCGGATCAGCACACCCACTCCGCGTTGCCCCACTGCTGGTACGTCAGCGATTGTAGTGATGAGTCCATTAGCGAGAGCTTTGCCTGCCTGGTTAGCGTGGGCCAGCCCTTTGCGGTGGCTCATGCACACAATCAGAGTCGGTTATGCAATTCAGTTCGCAAAACGGCCCCCCAAGTTCACGGGTGTGTATTCACCAGGGTCAGCCCCCTGTCCGGCCCTGTCTTGCGAGAGGAGATTGCTGTCCTCCTGGCAAAGGATGCAATCGAGCCGGTCCCTCCAGCCGAGATGGAGAGCGGGTTTTACAGCCCGCACTTTATCGTGCCCAAAAGAGAGGTGGGTCACAGCCAATCCTAGATCTGCGCGTTTTGAACCGCTGCCTGCACAAGCTGCCGTTCAGAATGCTCACACAGAAGCTCATTGCAGCAATAGACCTGAAGGACGCGTGTTTCCATGTCTCCATTCTTCCTCGCCACCGTCAGTTTCTGCGGTTTGCGTTTGAAGGTCGAGCTTGGCAATACAAAGTCCTCCCCTTCGGGCTCTCTTTGTCTCCGCGGGTCTTCACCAAGCTTGCGGAGGGTGCCATAGCGCCCCTTCGGCTCGCGGGCATCCGCATACTCAATTATCTCGGCGACTGGCTGATTTAGCCCACTCTCGGGAGCAATTGATTGTGCACAGGGACAAGGTGCTCCGGCACCTCCACCTGTTAGGGTTTCAGATCAACCGAGAAAAGAGCAAACTCGCCCCCGTGCAGAGGATCTCTTTTCTCGGGCTGGAGCTAGACTCGGTCACCATGACAGCGTGCCTCTCCAGAAAGCGTGCTCAGCTGATGCTGAACTGTCTTAGAGAGCTCGACAGCAAAATAGTGGTCCCACTGAAATTATTTCAGAGGCTCCTGGGGCATATGGCATCTGCAGCTGCTGTCACGCCACTCAGATTAATCCATATGAGACCACTCCAGCACTGGCTTCACGATCGAGTTCCCAGACAGAGTTCCCATTTTTAAGATTTCTGTCCCTGAAGACAGCTCTGCTGGTCGCGTTGGTATCGATTTAGTGGGTCGGGGACCTAAAGGCATTTTTCGGTCAGTGACTCGTGCCTGTAATTCGGGCTGCCTTACTCTCATGTTCCTGAGACCCCGCCCGGGATATGTGCCCAAGGTTCCTACCACACAGTTTTAATACCAGGTAGTGAGCCTGCAAGCGCTGCCCCTGGAGGAGGCACACCCAGCCTCTTTCTTTTTTTTTCTTTTCTTTTTCCAGTTCGCGCTTTGCGTATTTATCTGGACCGCACTCAGAGCTTAGATCCTCTGAGCAGCTCTTCGTCTGCTTGGCGGTCGGCAGCAGGAAAGTGCCGTATCGAAACAAAGGTTGGCCCACTGGTTAGTGGATGCAATTTCCCTCGCTTACCAGAGCCAGGGCGAGCTGTGTACCCCGAGAGCGTGCGCACTCCACTCGCGTGCACGCGGCGCCTCTCTAACAGACATCTGTAGAGCTGCGGGCTGGGCTACACCTAATACATTTGCAAATCTGTGAGTGGAGCCGGTTTTCTCAAGGGTATTAGATAACCCTTGGTGAATGAGGAAACAACTCCGTGAAGGTGTTGAAACACGCTTGCTGCGCCATTCTCGCTAACACGGAGATACGTGCGATTTTTCATTTGTCAGTAAAGTTCCCTGTTAGGTGAGCCCTGCTGATTCCTCCGAGGCCCCCTGCACTGACTCAGCGGAGGAGTCACTCGCTGGCCCATTACGTTGTTGGTCTACCCACTGGTTAGCCCGCGTTTTGGGTATAGGTGCCAGCTATGCGTGATCCCCACTAGGCGATCCCATATGCTTATTCAGCCACGGTGCAGTCCCCCCTCACGGGCAGACCCGTGTCTTCCCTCTCCGCTAACCATCTTATTATATACGTACTCCCCCTTCTCAGGGCTAGTCCATATATTCAGCGCAGCAGCAGCTCAGGATATGGCCTGGTCCCGGATATAGAAACCTTGGGATCATCTCGTCGCTGGTCTTGGATCCAATCAGTGGCTCCGCATAATCTGAGGACCTCGGGATGAGTATCCCCAGGTGGAAAAAGAGGATAGAGAGAATCATTAGCGTAGCTGCTGTTCATAGTGTATATAATCAAGATGCAGAAGCCTGTGTGGAACCCGCTAAGTGATGCATTGAGTGTATGCTTTACTAAACAGATAGGTCTTTAATCTAGTTTTGAACTGGGAGAGTGTGTCTGAGCCTCGGACGTTATCAGGAAGGCAATTCCAGATTGTAGGAGCAATAAAGAAGAAGGCTCGACCTCCTTTACTCGATTTTGCTATTCTAGGTACTACCAGAAGCCCTGAGTTTTGAGATCCTAAAGAGCGAGTTGGATTGTAGGGAAACAGAAGGTTGGTTAGATAAACAGGAGCTAGATTATTTAGAGCTTTATAGGTGAGAAGTAATATTTTAAATTCAATACGAAACAGGCAGCCAGTGTAAGGAGAATAAAAAGGGGAGATATGATCATATTTTCTAGACCTGGTAAGAACTCTGGCAGCTGCATTTTTTGTACTAATTGAAGTTTGTTAATAGAGGATGCTGGGCAGACCAGCAAATAAAGCATTACAGTAATCCAGCCTCGAAGTCATAAAAGCATGGACTAGCTTTTCTGCATCTGAGATGGATAGCATATTTCGTAATATAGCGATATTTCTCAAAAAGCAGTTTTTGTGACATGGGATATATGGTTTTCAAAAGTTAGATTGCTGTCTAATATGACACAAAGATGTTTTATAGTAGAGCTAACGCTAACTTTGTATCCCTCTAATTGTAAATTGAGTTGCGAGATCTGCTGTGTACAAGATTTAGGCCCAATAAGTAATAATTCTGTTTTGTCTGAGTTTAGGAGAAGAAAACTGTTGGTCATCCAGTCTTTAATGTCTTTGATACACTCAGTTAGTTTAGACAGTTGAGACGTCTCGTCAGGTTTAGTTGAAATATATAATTGAGTATCATCTGCATAGCAGTGAAAGCTGATCCCATGTCTTCTAATAATGTCTCCCAGAGGTAGCATGTAAATTGTAAACAGCAAAGGGCCTAAAACTGATCCTTGAGGCACCCCATACTTTACTGGGCTGACTTGTGAAGGCTGTCCATTAATATTCACAAACTGCTAACGGTCAGTTAAGTATGACTTAAACCATTATAGAGCCTGTCCCTGGACACCTGTAGACTTTAAGCGATTTATGAGGATATTGTGGTCAATGGTGTCGAATGCCGAACTAAGATCAAGTAAACTAATAGCGAGACGCACCCTCGGTCAGCAGCTAAGAGTAAATCATTGGTTATTTTCACTAATGCGGTTTCTGTACTGTGATGAGCCCTGAAACCTGGCTGAAACACTTCAAAAATATTGTTCATCTGCAGAAAGGAGCATAATTGAGTAGAAACAACTTTTTCTAGTATTTTAGACATAAATGGAAGATTTGAAATAGGCCTATAGTTAGCTAAGTTTTTGGGGTCCAGTTGCGGTTTCTTAATAATAGGCTTAAAAACAGCTAGCTTGTAAGAGTTTGGAACATGGCCTATAGATAAAGAAGAGTCGATAATGTTAAGAAGAGGCTCTCCTATTGCAGGTAGCAGCTCTTTCAGTAATTTTGTTGGAATTGAGTCCAGCATACACGTAGCTGGTTTAGAGCTATTTATAATTTTATCTAGCTCTTCCTGTTCTATGATTTTGAAGCAGTGTAGGTTATTATTATGATTCAATCGGACCGAGGAGGGGAACAGAAATGCTATATAGCATCGCCATAATGGTTGTTCCTTAGCTGTAAGCGTCAGTCTCTTCAGCTTAAAAGGATGGCGTTTCCTTGCTTCCCTGTGCTTATATGCGGAGCTAATGGGCAATGAGGCACACGTGCGCAAGCTTACGCTGCCAATTCATTTGGCATTTCAATACTCTTAGCATTGAAGTTCCCCTCCTCGGAGATATATATATATATATATATATATATATATATATATATATATATATATATATATATATATATATATATATTTTTTTTTTTTTTTTTTTAAGCTCCCCAATTTAATTCCTAATATTCAAAAATGCAATTACAATTAGTAACACTAGGGAATACTTTGTACTTCAATGGCTTGTCATACTGTAGGTAACTGGAAAAAAATATTTTGTGTGCAGAGACATAATGTGACTTTCTACACCTCTTTACTGGTGTGTTTTAAAAAGACACCAGTCCGATTGATAACATCTGAAAAATTATGCTTGCATCAGGAAATATGTTTGTCTATGTTTGTATCACACCTATGATTACATTGTCATTTCAGTTCCTACTCCTCCTGGCGAGATCAGCACAACGCAGAGCACAAACACACTGAACATCAGCTGGGCTCAACCACTCAACATGAGCTCAGTATCTTACTACTTTCTCTTGCAATACAACAACAGCACTCTCATAAATTGCAGCCAAAACTACACCTCTCTGACAGGCCTCAATGCTGGTTTCCCATACAACATCATCATGTGGACTGTTGGTGCAATGAATTACTCAAGCTCTTCTAAGAGTCTCACTGCATTTACAAGTAAGCAGTTTGCAATTATTCATGATTAATCGTATTAACGACTTTCTTGCTATAAATGAGATTTTATTAGTTGTGTATAGACATCAGTTCACTTCAATTACAAGAACCACAAAGAAAAATGAATAAGATTTTTATTTATTTTTCCAGATGCAAATCATGTACCTTCAGTGTAAAAACGTCTTAAACTGTCTAAAATTTCAAAACCTTAACTTCAGGTCTGAAAAAGTCCTAAAAATTTATAAAAATTTAATGATATATTGTGTTGTAGGTCTTAAATTGTTTTAAACAGGTCTTAATTTTGCTTTGTCCAAGTAAAGCTACTCAATTTGGGCTGATATCCATCTAATGACCAACACATCCCTATAAAATCCAATTTTTTATTTTTCTATAATTTTTTTTATAGCAAAGAGATAATTCACAACAGCTGTTAGACATTTTTACAGCAAATTCCTCAAATAATTTCCTTAATCAGGGAAAAATAAACTTAAAGCAATTACACGATTCCTCACGATAATACAAGACCATTCAAAACATCTTATCCCTGTAAAAGTCTAAAATTTCATTCTTGATGGTCTTAAAGGGGTCTTAAATTGACCCGATGATTTTTTTTATTATTACAATTTTTTAAGTTAATTTATTAAGTTCTTCAAGTGTGTATCGCTTTTCATAATAATTATTGTTTTAAAGCAGCTTCATAAAAGGTGCACATCATCACATTACAGTCAATATCAAAAAAGGTAAGGAGTTGTGTATAGGGAAGAAATAAACATAGTTAGCCCGCAGTTATACAGTCTATAGTTTCTCTCCAAAAAGGGTATATATATATATATATATATATATATATATATATATATATATATATATATATATATACACACAGTTGAAGTCAGAATTATTAGCCCCGTTTTGATTTTTTATCCCTTTTTAAAATATTTCCCAAATGATGTTTAACAGTGCAAGGAAATTTTCACAGTATGTCTGATAATATTTTTTCTTCTCGAGAAAGTCTGATTTGTTTTTATTTTGGCTAGAATAAAAGCAGTTTTTAGTTTTTTAAAAGCCATTTTAATGTCAAAATTATTAGCCTCTTTAAGCAATTTTTTTCCTGATAGTCTACAGAACAAATCATCGTTATACAATAACTTGCCTAATTACCCTAACCTGCCTAGTTAACCTAATTAACCTAGTTAAGCCTTTAAATGTCACTTTAAGCTGTATAGAAGTGTCTTGAAAAATATCTAGTTAAATATGATTTACTGTCATTATGGCAAAGATAAAATAAATCAGTTATTAGAGATGAGTTATTAAAACTATTATGCTTAGAAATGTGTTAAGAAAATCTTCTTTCCGTTAAACAGAAATAGGGGAAAAAAATAAACAGGGGTGCTAATAATTCAGGGGGGCTAAAAATTCTGACTTCAACTGTATATAAACAGAATTTGCACTAAGGATAGGAGGGTTTTTAAAAAAAAACCTGCACGTGCAAAAGACATAAAAACGGTCTCTGAAGCAATTTGTTGGTGTGTTACTATGTGTTAGTGTTCATCACAGTTTAATAGTTTGGTCATTTCTCCAGAGTTTACAGCAACTCTTTCACAATTAATGCTACAAACTCACTTGCTTTACGTTTTATCAGTTTAAGATTCCAGCGCAATACACAGCAGAAACTCAATGTTTTTTTTTCTCTTTTAGCTAAGTTTTTTTTAAGTATACTGTACATGTTCTTGCACAGAAACACAGGCTGAATGCATGTAACATAATGTCAGATTAGCCATATTTAACAGTTAGTTAACCCAGTGTCAAAAGTGAATGTACACATTGGTGGATGACAGCAGCCAAAATTACATTTATCCTGAAATTACACATCTTATACTAAAATAATGTGTATATTAATAATATCAACCTTCATCTTTCTTTAAGGTTTTGATTGCTTGGCTCTGAGAATAGCTTAGTATTTTATACAGATGTATGGGATTTTAAAGTGTTACAATAGGGGATTTATTATTTACAACGAAAACCGAATGAACCAACAATTTTGTGAACTGTCCCACTCCTAATTTGCACATACATTGTATATTTGATGAACAGATTAACATCATTCCATTTACCTAAACTTATGATCACTGTTTATGTGTTAAAATTGTTCTTTATTATATGTGGATAAACCAGATGTAAATCTGATTATAATATCTCTTTAGAATATTTGTTTCAATCCCCTTTATTCATATAATTTATAATACTCACAAACTGTATATATCTGTAGTGTGTCCTAAGTGTCCCACACATGTTCCAGGTATAGAACAACGCAGGAGTTACAGATATTTGCCATTAGTTTCCTCTAGATTTTGAGATGGTGAACATTTGTAAAAAAACAAGTATGGTAAACAAGTTGATTATACATTAAATGTTTTGCTCTAAAGCATAATTTAGATACATCCTCGTAAGAAACTTAAATTTTGAAGCTGTTATTTTTATTTTATAATTTTTTTGTTATTATTTAGAACATTTATGGTGCATATCTGTGCAGTTTATGTTATAGAACAATTTAATACAATATTTATTTATAAAGCACATTTAAAAACAATTGAAGTTGACCAAATTTCTGCACATAGGAGTACTAAAGACAGTGAAGAATAAAAATGTACAAAGAAAACAATAAATAAAAGCAATAAAAAACAGTAATCGAGTAGTATTATAATGAGAGAAAAGAGATCAAACTTTTTAAAAACAAAAAACTTTTTAAAACAAAACCTTTTAGTACTGTTTAGTAATGCTTACCACACAACCTCCTACATCAATCCTTGTTGTGGTGTGGCCCATTTTTGACCAGAACATGGCTTAATTGTACATGTTTTTGTGAATGATTTTCAGATCCTTCTGTTGTGACTAATGTGACAGTGAATGAATTCACCGAGACCAGTGTAACTCTAAGCTGGCAGCAGAATGATCCTCAGCAGTCTGGTTACTCCTACCTGCTCAACTACAAAACAATTAATGGGACGTCTAACCAGACGACCGTGAACAACAACACTGTGAAGCTGGAGCAACTACAGTCGGCCAGTCAATACAATATCAGCATTATCGCCCTGACACCAGGCGGCACCAAATCTGATCCCCAGTTTATAACTGCCTGCAGTAGTGAGTATCTGCGCTCCTCATGACACCAGTAAATGTTTTGACATATCCTGCTATAACACATATCATAAATTTATCAAATAATATTTACAATAAAATATGGCAGCTGAGTTTGCCCAAATTTTACCAATACAAATGCAGTAGGAAAATAAAAATATAAAAAAAATGTACCATTTTACACTAAATTACTGTACTTTATTAATTGGTAGTCATACACAATTTTACGTACTAACATCTACACAGCAGAACCCTGTTACACATAACAATAAGCATGTGTGGGAGATGAATCATATAATGTACCAAATCTCATCACAAACAGTTTTTTCCACAAGCAGAGAAGCATAGTAATATACACAAGTGCTCAGTGTCATTCACGTACAGTAACTACTAAATACCATTATGGTAACACACATGACACTAAAGTAACACAATAAACAGTTTTTATCAACATTAGATGTAACAAAAAACTATAAAGAATCATTTTAATGTCAACAAAAAGCAAAAGAAGTCAAGTGTCATGTAGGGAAATCGAGGAAAGGGATTTTAGGGTTATTTACCAAATACAGTTGGATCCATAAATATTTGGACATCGACACAAATCTAACATTTTTGGAACGCAAAGACATCACCAGATGCTGGGTTTCATTCCTGGTGGTGCTCTGCCAGGCCTTTACAGGAACTGTCTTCAGTTCTTGCTTGTTCTTGAGGTATTTTCCCTTCAATTTTGTCTTCAGCAAGTGAAATGCATGCTCAATCAGATTCAGATCAGGTGATTGACTTGGACATTGCATAATATTTTACTGCTTTCCCTTCAAAAACTCTTTGGTTGCTTGTGCAGTATGCTTTAGGTCATTCTCCAACTGCACTGGGAAGCGTTGTCCAGTGAGTTCTGAAGCATTTGGCTTTATATGAGCAGAAAATACTGCCTGAAACACCTCATCCTGCTGCTTTTGTCAGCAGTCACATCATCAGTAAATACAAGTCAACCAGTTCCACTGACAGCAGTACATGCCCACGCCATGTCACTACTACCACCATGCTTCACTGCTTAGGATCATGAGCAGTTCCTTTCCTTCTCCATACTCCTCTCTTCCCATCACGCTGGTACAAGTTGATCTTGGTCTCATCTATCCATAGGATGTTGTTCCAGCACTGAAGGCCTTTTTGATGTTCAAATTGATTTTCATTTCAAATCAGTTGTGTTTTTGTATAGAGCCAAAATTGTTAAAATTGTGTTGATGTCCAAATATTTATAGACCTAACTGTATTAATACAACTTACTGTTAACCAATTACAGTTTTTAACCATTGAAATCACAGACATTTTTTTACAGTCTTTGTTTTTTTTTTCAGGGCCAAATCGTGTTAACAACGTGAGTTCTGTGGCTTTGAATGTTTCCACTGTGAGGTTGAGCTGGGCTCGTCCTTTGCAATACAACCAGTTAGTTTCCTACCAAGTGTTAGTTTCCAACTGCACAAAAAACAGCATGAACATGTCTACTTCCACTGAAATGATCACTGTGACAAACTTGCAGCCTGGCACACTGTGTCAGATCAGTATATATAGTGTGGCATGTGGCCTTCTGGGACAACCAGTGAACACCTCTGTCCTCACAAGTATGTAATCAACCACACACACACACAGAGTCAATCAAACACAAAAATGTCTTTAGTATGGGCAGAAAGAATTATTTTGCTCTCTCTATCTCTTTCAACAGTGCCATCTACAGTGCAACCAGTTGTTAATAGTCAAGGCTCTAATAACTCTCTTCTGGTGTTGTGGAGTCACCCTGATGGTGGTCTTGATATGTATATTTTGAACATCAGCAGTGATGGATGGAGCGACTTTAGTTTCCTCAACAGCACTGAAAACAATTACACCTTCACTCAATTAAAAGCAGCAACACTCTACACAGTCACTCTCACGACTGTCAAAGGATCCTTTCAGGAAACATCAGGGGCAGTAGTTAGCGCTACCTGTGAGTATGAAACCCTTAAACACAGCAGATATTTATAGGTCTGCGTTATTTATAGGTGCTGATTGTGTGTGTTTTCAGATCCAAACAGCCCAGGGATGATTACGGTTTTGTTTAAGAACACCCATTCAGTGCTTTTACATTGGGATATCGCTCAGAACATGACGCCTGGCAGCTTCAACTACAGCCTGTCCTTCTGGTCAAGCAAAAACAACAGTCTGTATCTCACTCCCAATAACACTTTGCTTTTGGATGGACTACAATCTGGAACGCCCTATAACGTTTCTTTGGCTACTGTGGGGCCATTGAATTTGCAGAGTGAATCTATGAGATACAATGTAACTACAAGTAAGTTTACAATTATAATTATAGTGTATAATTATATTGTGCTGTATTTTGCTAAACCGCCATGAAAAACAGAACACAATAAGGTCAATAAGATTATTTATTATTTCAATTTCAGCACTATTCAGGAAAATGTTAAAATACTTTGATTTGGATAACATTTAAAGACCAAATTAATAGATCAACACATTTCTAATTAAAAAAACTAATTTATATAATAATTAATATTCAGGGTCACACAGAATCTGCAAACATTTTGTAACTATTTTTGCGCAGAACTTAAAAAAAGTGCAGCTTAAAACTTATGCAGAATGATTTTAGGAGTATCGTAACTTAAAACTTAATATATTAATTAAAAAAGGTATTATTTTTTATTTAATTTATTATTTAATTATTATTTGTATTAATTATTTTATTTAATGTTTACAATGCAAATCCAATTAGATGCACTTATTTGATAATCAAAGCAAGTCTCCCATATAATATGTCTATTAAAAGACAGAAAATATTCATTTTACAAACTTTATTGTAAATAAAACAAATGAGCATTTTTATATTAATCAGTAATATTACTGAAATTAATTTAAAACTGAATAAATGTACACTTACACACATTTACTTGAGTAAATAAACAGACTCAATGATATGTTAAAAATCTGCAGATTTCTGTGGGCCTACTAATATTTAACAAATGATAACAGTACATAATATTTCACTAGTTATTTTGCAAGATACTAGTATTTACTATTTATATATGCAATATGCAATTTAAAGCCTTAACTAGGTTAATTAGGCAAGTCATTGTACAACAACCTTAAGACAATTTCTTAAGGGGCCTAATAATGTTGATTTTAGCAGTTTTTACATCATTCATTTATTCATTCAAGCCAAACTAAATGAAACATGACTGTCTCCTGAAGAAACATATAATGGGAAGTGAAAATGTTCCTTATTAAACATCACTTTGAAAATATATATATACAAAAAACAAATATTTCACAGAGGGATAATAGTTTTGTCTGGTCCGTTTGTTGAATTTAAGTTACATTGCATCTACATGCCAACTAATTCACATTAGATTATAAGTAGACTTTTAGGTTGAGGTTGGGGTTAAGGTTATAGTGTAAGTTTACATGTACTTGCTAAGTTTCTTATAGTCAGTTAAATGTCTGTTGAAGGAGCATATCAGCAGATATTAAGCAGATAGTCTACTTATACTTAACTTTTCCATCAAAATAAAGTGTTACTTATTATTTGATTATAATATTTCACAACATTACTTGTTGCTGTTTTTATTGATGAAATGATTGCAGCCTTGGTAAACATAAGAGAATTTTTAAAAACATCCTAACTACCTGCAATACAGGTACTACTTAAATAATTACACTGTAAGTACATGTAAAGTACACATTCTACAAAATAAAGTGTAACCCCATAAATGTTGATAATGCATTTCATTTTCATGAAATTGATTTAGCAAAAAAGTCATTTATTTATAGGTCTTATGAAACAGGGAAAGACATTCACACTGTCTCTATAAAAAAATGGAGAAAAGAAGAAAAAAAAACATTTACTTGTGAGTGAATGAGGACTCCCTATAATAGTTCATAGCATTTGCCATTACTATAGATGTATGTTGTTTTATGCCTTTTCTTTTTTCAAAATGCTACTTTTAAAACCGAAACAGCTTCCATAGCATCTATTTATTTTAGTTTGATTAGGAAAGAGTAATATTAGGTTAAGACATAAGTGACATGATTTATATCTTTGTTTTTCTGACATGAAATTGATAGTTGAACTCTCTCTTCTCATCTTTCTCTTTCTGCATCTGTTTTCAGTGCCTGATCCTGTAAAAAACCTCAAAGTTGTTTCCACAACAACAAATACTATCTCTGTAACTTGGAAAATGGTTGACGTCCCAAAGTATGTAGTGAGTGTGAATAATGCAGTAAAAATTACCAGTTCAAACAACATGACCATACACAATCTGCAGCCTTCAACACAATATAACATCAGTGTTCAGAGCAGCACTTTTGACAACACAGAAGGAGAAGCTGTGTGCCTCCAAGATTGCACAGGTTAGTACAAACACTCTATGTCTATGGTAGGGCTGGGCGATTTAGCCTAAAATCAAAATCTCGATGAAATGAACATTTTAACTCGATTATGATTAATGAATGATTATTTTATTTATTATTTTGCCCTTGAAGTTTACTGACATGTTTTGTACAGTAAATATGCTTACATATTACGTGTGAGAGATTTCTGAATGAAGGGGGCATTACTTGATTTTAAAATAACTGAGGGAAACACGATCTACTATTTATGATTATTTATTGAATTTTAAACAACTGAAATAGAAAAACACATTGCCTAAACGAACAGTCACTTTTTTTTTCTTTTAAGAAGTGAAAATAAATAGCTTGTACTTTTGGAAACAAAATAAATTATTTTCTTATATTTTTTATATTAAATATAAATACTCAAATATGTATATAATACTTATATTTTAGATTTTCATATTAAAGTAGAAAATAAGCAGCATCTCTTCTAAATAAAATAAAATATTCGTGTATATCCTGTAAATAATATTTAATAAGTTTTTTTTGCATCTTCTGTAAACAAATATTTTGATGTAAATAATAATTTTAATGTAATGGAAACTATACCGTCTCAAGGCATCACCGGCGCAGTTTGCAATCATCGTCAATGTAGTGCAAAGTAAGGCTCAAGAATGGGTCCATCGTCCTACTTGACCAAAGTAAATTAAAGTAAATTACATATGCAGTCATTTAGCCATTCTAATTATCTGTTCAATGGAAACAATAATATTCACTCCTCAGTTTCACCTCACAAAAGTGTGTTTTCTCATAGGTAAAATATAAATGTGCTAGAGTAAAATATTTCAATGCAACCATATAAATACATAAAATAAAAGGTGTCAACCCATCAACCCTTGAAATAATAAAAAAACAAAAAGTTTTCCAGTTCAACCTAATTCAGACTTGGCAACCCTAGTATTATTATCAATAACATTTGGTCAATTAACACTAATTGGTCAGTACAATTATCACTAAATTTAATTGTATTTGCAACAGTAGGCACCATATTCGCTATATTTATTTATAATAGTCAGCAGTAGCCACTGCTCAAAAACACCACTCTATTAAATACACATGAAACCTTGAAACACAAGTAAGATAAAGTGGTTTAGAAACAATTTTGGGTGGAGAAAAACGTGATCACTTGTCTCACTTTAATTCTCACAAAAAACTTTTACATGAAGCTTATGTGACACTCATGTACAGTACCTGACAAAAGTTTTATCATCAATGCCAGTTGTAAAAGCAACAAATAATAACTTGACTTCTAGTTGACAATTTGGAAAAGTGTCAGAAAGTAGATTTTTCAGATGAATCATCTGTTGAACTGCATCCCAATCATCACAAATGCAGCAGAAGACCTACTGGAACCTGCATGGACCCAAGATTCTCACAGAAATCAGTCAAGTTTGGTGAAGGGAAAATCATGGTTTGGGGTTACATTCAGTATGGAGGTGTGCGAGAGATCTGCAGAGTGGATGGCAACATCAACAGCCTGAGGTGTCAAGACATTTGTGCTGCTCATTACATTACAAACCACAGGAGAGGGCAAATTCTCCAGAAGTATAGCGCTTCTTCTCATACTTCAGCCTCCACATCAAAATTCCTGAAAGCAACAGGCAAGAATGCTCCAGGAATGGAGCATGTCTGGGGTAAGATAAAGGAGGAGGCGTTGAAGATGAATCCACAGAATCTTGATGAACTCTGGGAGTCCTGCAAGAAGGCTTTCTTTGCCATTCCAGATGACTTTATTAATAAGTGATTTGAGTCTTTGCAGAGATGTATGGATGCAGTCCTCCAAGCTCATGGGAGTCATACTCAATATTCATTTTTTTTCCACTGCACCATGACTTTATATTCTATACTGTACATTATTTCTGTTAAGTGACAGGACTTTTGTCTAAGCAAAGTCAGACTTTACTGTCCTAATTAATAAAAAATCAAGGCATGATCATATTTTATTTTGGTAAAAGAAGTATAATCTAGAGGCTTGTGTCTTTTATATTAGCCACTTCTAAAACCAAATGATGAACTAGAGATCAAGTTATAATTTGTTATTCCTTAAACTTTGATAGGCGACAAGACTTTAGTCAAATCGTGTAGTTTTTATTATAATGGTGGTCCTTGATTTGATTGATTGCTCCTTTTTTTTTTTTTTTTTTTTTTTAAGTTAGTTAAATTTAATTGTACATGTTGGTCTAAATGTCAGAATAAGGTAGAGTAAAATAGTCATGCTTTGCTTTGCTTTCTGCAGATGCAGCTCCAGTGGAGAATGTGACCTGTGTGGGTCCTAATTTAACCTTGCCAATGCTCAACCTCTTCTGGAACCATCCTCTTGGTGGATACATGAACTTTGAAGTCAATCTGTCTTCTAGCATTTCAGAAAAAACCAAAAATTTAAACTACAACTTCACTGGACTCAAGTACAACAAGACATACAGTGTCACCCTCAGGACCCTCGGCTGTGGGAAGAGCAGCACAGTGAAGAATATCTCCTGTACAACTGGTTTTACAAGTAAGCAGTTATTAAACAGGTATAACCATTTTGATGGTCATTTTAGATAAGAAATCTAAACTAATTTGCACTCACTAGTGATTAATGAGTGCGGGATTATATGTTGAGTGTGTGTTTTAAATCCTTAATTGACGAACAGTGTTTGTACATTTGTATGTATGTGAAGAATAAATGTGTTGTGAGCGAGTAGGGTTAGATCATTGCAATGATTTTAGAAGAATGATGGTTGACTGATGAACCACTGAATATCTGATATGTATGTGTATGTTGTTTTGTACAGTTGTGTAATTTTACTGGTTTATTTTAGTTTTAGTTTACTTTATTTTATTCAGTTTACAGCACAGGCACATTCACACACACACACACACACACACAACTCCATAAACACCAACCTGTCCAGGAGTTACAGGTGGAAATTAACATTAATAATCTGACATCTTGCCTATGATTGAAATAAGTATTTCATAAGTATTGTATTATTGTGTATTGTCTTTATACAAAAACACAAAAAACAACTAAACTAAATATAAAAATTTTGTAATTTGTGGGTGAACTGACCTTTTAATGCTAACTTAAAATAACAGTCCACTTCTACATTCCACTAATATTGTAACGAGAGATAGTTGACATGTAGTGCAGCATTATAATCAACAGAATGTTTAAAGAGGCCATCAAAATAAAGCATAATCATATTTTTTGTTTAAATTTGAGCACATTTCACTTACTGTATGTTATCTTTATTTGTGTTTGTAGACCCTGTTGTGCCCAAAATAACAGCAGCGAGTGTATCCGAGCAGCAGTACAACAAGTTTGCATTGGTTATTCAGTCAGATGCCTTTAATGACTCTAATGGTACTGTGTGCAGTTATGGCTTACTTGTCTCCTCTGGCTCGTTCGGTATGTATAATCTCTTTCGATTTTTAAAGTTTTGTCTTTATGATTTTGTTTAATAATTGAGTAGTGATTTATCAAGTGATTAATTGTAATGAGCATTACAAAGTTTGGTGAGGGAAAGATTTTTTTAGAAAGTTTTTGAAAGAAATTCTCACCACAACTTAAAAAAAAATTCTATTTTAATGTGTTTAAAATGGTTATTTATTTGACATTTTTCAGTGTCATTACTCAAGTCATTTGAAAGGATTCTTTCATAAGTAGACTTAAAAAAATAACATTTATTATTTTTTTCAATATTTCATCAATTAATTGTTTATAAATGTAATTGAAGAAGCATGAATTGAAGAATAAAACAATATGAACAACTTTTAAACTGTAATTATTATTGATTATATTTTATTAGAAAGAATTTAATTAATTTATTTTCAGTTTGGTCTTTATTGATTTTAGCACTTTAAATGTATTATTCGGTTTAGATGTGCTTGTTAATATATAATTATAATATGGGTTGGCTTATCAAATGTATAATAAAAAAGCATAATTGCATTTTACACTGGAAAAAAATGCTTTTGTTACTTTTTTTGTCTGTCAAGTGCAAATACCTTAAATTCTTTAGTCTTGTTTTCAGAAATAAATGTTTTTCTTTTTGACTATTTATTTTACTTACCCCGTTGGTTATTTTTTCTGTTTTAGGGAAACCTACTTAATTTTGCACATATCATTTCTGAAAACAAGACAAAATGCTTTACCTGTCTAGAAAATGCTACTTGATTTAAAATTTTTTAGATAATTTGACTAGAAACAAGTAAAAAGTAAAAAAAAAAAACAAGCTTTTTTGTGTACTAAATAAGATTTTTTTCTTTTGCAGATTGCTTGGACAACAATCAAAATTATAATCAATGCCTCTTAAAAACCTATGATGACTGGAAAGCAAAGCAAAGCGATACATTCCTGGCTGTTGTCAAAACAAATGTGTCTAAAAGTGAGCTGGAAACAATCATCATTGGAGATGGAAGTAAATGGAACAAATACACAAATGGAGAACTAAATGCCAAAGGCACTTACAAGTAAACAAACACACTTCCCATACTCTGCATTTACTTCATTGCTGCATAAATTAAAAGGCATTATAACAGTGTACCGGTTATTTCCATCACTAAACTAAACAGAGCCACTGCTTTATGTTCCTAATGCTGCCTTGCACATCACCTGCACTACTGTCAGAATGTCTTCTGCATTATGTTGTCATGTGTTTGGCTTCCTTGCAGTTTTGCTATCGTCGCTTTCACTCTTCTGGAGGTAAAAGATGGTAAAGTGGATGTATCTAAATCATACTACTCCGTATCTGCGTATCAAAGTGTCACTCTGCCAGAGAACCCAGGTAAAGACTGGGAGACTGTTTCTTAATGTATTCATACCCTGAAAACAATTACACTTTAAACCAACTTTTTAAAAAAAATGACTGCAATTTGCTGCAGCTAAATTTTGTAGTTTTTTTCTCAAAGTAACTTTGGTTCAAACTATAAAATTTATTTCAATCTGCATAAAAATATTTATTCTTCCCAAGGAAAATGAAATACAGTAAGTTAAAGGTAAAATGTTGTTTTTTATAGACCATGATTAATTGAATTACTTTGGATCCAAGTGAAGTTTTAAAATTCAAGTAACGTTTTACTCTGAACCAAACTATGATAAATGCTTATAATGTTATAGGCTATGCTGTTAATAGTTAATTTATTTTAAAAAAAATAGGTAAATTATTTGCTGGTTCTTTCAGTATGAATATTCATGTCATGCAAAGTTATCAAACTCATATTAGAAAAGCATCAAAAACTGAAAGCACATAACAGTAACTTTTTTTTCCATGTGGTCACATGACAGTTGGGTTAAAATTAAAATACTAAAGAAAAGCTATTGTTTTAGAGTTTACCTAGGCACTTTGTTTTTTGTCTAAAGGCAAATTTAATAAAGATTATAATCAGAAACCATATTTTTTCATTTTCATCCAATATAATAATGTACTCCGGGTGCTCCAGTGTCCCCCACAGTCCAAAGACATGCAGTACAGGTGAATTGGGTAGGCTAAATTGTCCGTAGTGTATGAGTGTGTGTGAATGTGTGTGGATGTCTCCCAGAGATGGGTTGCGACTGGAAGGGCATCCGCTGCGTAAAAACTTGCTGGATAAGTTGGCGGTTCATTCCGCTGTGGCGACCCCAGATTAATAAAGGGACTAAGCCGACAAGAAAATGAATGAATAAATGAATGCATAATAATGTACTTTGAATGAAAGACAGTACTTTGACTTTTTAAGTGTATAACACTTTTTTCCTCACATTTTAACAGTAACTCATCTCTGCTAATATTACTTAATCTATTTCAAACACCCAGAATTACAAAGCAATGTATCTTAAATCTACTGTATTTGGCATTGCTTCTCAAGCAAACGACAAACTGCAGGAAATTTGGTCCTTTTTTTTACCTTTTTTGTGGTCATCTCTATTAATTCCTTAAATCAAAGTTTTACTTGATTCAGCTTCAGACTGTGGAAAAAATGTTGCATTGAAATATAATAGTCTGTAAAATGATTTTATGTGTGAATGTTGCGGCATCAAAAAGAAAAAGGAGCTTATAATAACACTGAGCATGACTTGAGAGTGGCATTATCAAGCCAACAACCTTGTTTTTAAAAGATGTGTGTACTACAAAACAGGCTCATTGCAGCCATTAAAATAGCTAATATTCATTTTTGTCACAGTAGTTTGTTGTTTTTGAATGCAGTTTGGAAAATGAGAAACGCTTTCATATTCTAAGTTTCTGAATTTGATGTCATCAGAGGCAAACTGCAAACAAAATTAATATTATTATTTACTATATTCTAAAGTTTTAATGTGGTGATTTAATGTCATGTCTTTAAAATGTGCTGTTTTTTCAATATATCTGAACAGGTAAACTTGGAGCCCTAGTTTATTAGTATTTTGTTTGCGATATTAGGGACAGGTGGGCTTGGAACCTTTCTCCTCCTCCTAAGTGTGTAACAAATGTTTTGAGAAAGTTTGAGAAACACTGGGTTATGGCAAAATCATTTTCATTCAGAGTAAACAATCAGATTAATCACTGTCTGACTTTTTTTATTAGCAGACAGCAGCATATTTTTTCGGTTAAAAAATCTCACATGGTTAAAAACAATGGCACGTCAAGTTAGTCTGCACAGCCTGCCTATTGAGTGCCCTTGATCTATGTATGTATACATGAACTATATACTCGTAGTTGTGCACTAAATAAAATTGAATGCCTCTCAAATCACCTTCATCCCCTATTCATGAACTTCAACAGATCTTCCTGATAATATCAACATACTTAACATGCACAGCGTTGTTGCTATGCAGATGGCTGATTAGATATTTGTGTTAAGATATTTGCAGTTTAACAGGTCAAACCAATACTTTAAGTCAGTGGTTGCCAAAGTGAGGGTCATGAGACACTCACATACATTTAAAATAAAAGCCAAGACTGAACATAGAAGACTATCTCCAAGTTGAGGCCTCCAAAATTAAACCCAGAATAGTCTTGTGCTGTGAACATTGTGGGGTATAATATTAAATAAAAAAAATGAATAATGACTATAAAAAATATATGGTTGTTAGACTGTTCCACTTTTCTTGTGTTGTCAATAAGCTCATTTACATAGACCATACTGGTGTGAGTGCACTGTTGTGTGCAATGTTTTTTTTATGTTTATACAGCACTGGAATTGGTATTTTGGGGGTTGTACGCTGAAAAGTTTGGGAACCCCTGCTTTTTTTGGATATCTTTAATGAGTGTTTTTGTTTTCTCCATCTCGTAGTGGTAATAGGAGGAGCAGCTGCAGGAGTTGGTGTTACTGTTATCATTGTTGTAATCATCATTGGGATAGTGGCTTGTACACGGTAAGACTTCTTATAGATATCTACTATAGATGCTTGTGGTGTTCAGTTTAGTGTTAGAGATGCTGGATTTAAAGGATATTTGTTTGTAAAGATATTTATTTCTAGATTACATCATTCTTTGTATGTTTGATTTTATGTCAGTGGCATTTAGATAATTACATTTATGCTTTAATACCATAGGAAGAAAAGAAAAGAAGTTTCTAACAGTGTTCCTATCCACTCTTTAAGGTAAGTAGATTGGTAAACTTCAACAGGCATGATACACATTGAAAAAAATGAACCTTTAATAATGTAACCTCTTTTTTTGTTTGTTTGTTTGTTTGTTTGTTTGTTTGTTTGCTTGTTTCTTACAGAAACAAAGTGTAAGTATTTATACATTTTTGTTTAAATATTCATGAATTAATTTAATATTATTGCTTGTCTTAAATATAATAAATATTGTGTCATAAGGGTTTTCTATATATAGAAAAGCACATTTATTGCTGTATTAGTGTTCTATGCTTTTCTAATATACTATATAAATGCATATTTTCTATGATATGTAATTTACTGCTACCACAGGAGTGATCCGATAAAGGTGGAAGATTATGAGGCTTACTATAAGAGACAAAGAGCTGATTCTTTCTGTGGATTTGCTGAAGAATTTGAGGTGATTATATACAGTGGGTGACACTTCAAAATAACCACTTCATGTAGTGCCGCGGCGGTATTAAGGGATTGAGAACATGTTTTTAGGTGTGACAGCAGTTTGCAACTATGACACCAGGGGGCACAATGGAATGGGATGCAAACAGACAGAAATATATAGTAGCTGTAAATACCCTGCTGCTTGTAAATGAAGATGAAGTAACGAAATAAAGCATTAAAATTCCTCCATTAACCATCAAAAACTTGTTAAGCTTTATTATATTTGTAAACTTGAGTGTAATGGGGATTCTTTTTGGAAATTAAAACTAAATAAATAAAAGATGACTTAAATAAAAGTACAAACATACATAAATAAATAAAGCAGTGTTTTAGCCTAATAGAGAGACGTACAGTGTTTATTTTATAGTGATAGGACTTAGACAGTCAATAAATAAGCTTTTTCATTTACAGTTTACATTTACACTATCATTACTCTTTGTTGATTATATCTTACTATCAAATTTTATGTCTTAATTATTGTACATAAATCATAAACTAATAATTATATAGGCCTAAATAATTATTTATTTAAAGACATTACAAGCAAAACATGGAGAAATGATCCGGCACATGGTCTAAAGGGTTCTTAAGTTGAATGCTACTTCATCAAAAGCATAAAAATAAATTGATCATTAAATCACTAAAGTTACAATAAAAAAATAATTTTGCCGCAGGACATAAATTAACTCCCGCAAGTTTATTTTAATAATTTAGTTTCAGTTCAGTTTTTTTTTTTAAAAGTCATGTTCTCCTTCAAATTATATATATATATATATATATATATATATATATATATATATATATATATATATATATATATATATATATATATATATATATAACTTTTTAACTATTAATGGCTCTCAGTTTTTTGTGTTTTAATTTCAATTTTAGTCACTTTGCACATGCATGTGAAATATAATGTGTGCATAAAAGCATAAAAAAGAAAAAGCAGTCAAAAGTTATAGGTAATTCATCAAAATTAGCTAGATTAAATTTATTATTTATATTAAATAATAATAATATATACTTTTGTTATGACAATTTTAAGACCACTGTTGCCTTTGTTTCATTTGCTCTGATTATTTTTGTCCTTTGAATAGAGAAATGTAACGTGCACTTACATGACTTCTTGAATCATTTTACACTGAATCAATTGCTTCATTACACATTTAAAATGTACTTTCTATAAAAATAATAAACTCCAATTCTTAAAAGATAGACTGTTTTAAATGAACTTGAATTTACTGTCTGTTTGTAGGATCTAAGGCCGGTTGGGATAAATCAATCAAAGACTGTTGCTGTGTTTCCTGAAAACAAAGCCAAGAATCGATATAATAATGTGCTGCCATGTAAGAACCTCAGTTTCTTCCTTTAAGCAATTTCAGAATACTGCGTTCCCTTCACATCTAGTAAATTAACATGTATTTGTCGCTCTCTGTATTCTGAACAGACGATTCTTCTCGTGTCAAGCTCTCTGTTCTCAGCAGCCCATTTGATGACTACATCAATGCCAACTACATGCCGGTAGGAAGTGAAAATACACAGAAAAAAAATGACTTTCAGCTTTTTACTTAACTGATGCACTAACTGTGTGATATTTCCAGGGTTACATTACAAAGAAGGAGTTTATCGCAGCACAAGGTCCATTGCCCGGCACTGTTAATGACTTCTGGAGGCTGATCTGGGAGAAGAATGTGCACACTATTGTCATGCTCACCAAATGCAATGAACAAGGCCGGGTACAGTTAACATTCATTACTCGCTTTATTCGTGATCTCCCCAGTCAGAGTCTTTTTATTTGGTGGGGGAGGGGGTGGGTGAGATTATAGGCTACTTATTAGTAAGCTTTACCACTGTATATTCACTATTTAGAGCATCATTCAATCCTAAACATTGTTGATACCTACTTTTATTGTATGTTGAATTTAAACGAATGCTGCTGTAATGTTCTGTCGCTCTCAGGTAAAATGTGAGGAATACTGGCCAGCAGAGATGAAGACTTTTAGCAATCTGACAGTGACAACAATTTCTGATATCCCATTGGAGGATTGGACTTTACGTGACTTTGAAGTGAAAAATGTAAGTTTGAATTGTTATTATTAATACTGACTGAGCCAGGCTGCCATTTGAACAAACAATCAATTTATTACACAATTATGAATGTTAACATGAACATGCTGTTACATAAATTGCACAACTTTCTATATATTTATGTTTGAACATTACTTTAAAACAATATAAATCATGCATGCATAAGAAATTTTAAAAAAAAAAGTTATTTTAATGGGTAATTTATTCGGAGTACATTATGGGTCAGTTTACTAACAGCTTGTGCCTGAGGTAACTCTTATTTTCCCATTAAAAACATAGCATCAGCATTTACAGAAAACATACTACAAAAAAGCATATGAAAAGGTATAGAGAGTTGTTTTTGTTGCATACATATTAATAGGAGTGTATCTAAAAATAATAATAATAATAATAATAATAATAATAATAATAATAATAATAATAATAATAATAATAATAATAGTAATAATAACAATAATAATGCATTTTAATTGTAATGTCCACTGAAAAAAATGATTTCTTTAAAATTGTTGCAAACAATTTATATGGGCTGATTTAGTGTAAAATAAATTTAATGTTCAACTTAATTTGCTAGTTTAAATTCAGCTCAAATAAATTGTTTACAACCACTTAACAAATTGAGAAAATCCAAGGCATCATCTTTAAATCTTTTTTTTTCCAGTGTGCTTTTTTTTTAAACCAAATATGCTAAAGTAAATCTAAACAGAAAAAAACAGCTCAAAAATAGAAAATCAATTAAAAACAAGTCTGAATATGTGTCTTCAAAAGCTTAAATTAATTATTTAAAGTTGGTGGGTTTCATTAGTTTGGGCCTTTGAAAGAAAGAGAAGTCTTGAGTTTATCTGGAGACTGAGAACTTAACAGGAAGTGCCTAGTAAATGAGGAGTTTTTATAAATATAGCAAACAAATGTGATTTAAAAGATATTCAGGTGCAGTTCCATGTATTGCATTATATGTTAAAAGTGATAGGAACTTTAAAATCAATCCTAACACTGAGAGAAAGCACAAGTGTATTGTGTTTCAATGGAGAAGAACAAGTAAGGGCTCGAGCAACAAAAATCTGAATGTACTGTAACCTGTTAAGAGATTTAGTTAGAAGGCCAGAAAATAAGACATTGCAGTAATGCAATCCAGGTGTAATGAAGGCGTGCAAGCTTTTTGAATCAGAGAAAGTAGCAAAAGATCTGAGTCGTTTATTATTCTTAGGACTATTTCAAAATTAGTTTTATACATTGTGCATCAAAAGTTAGTTGACGATCAAAGATGACACCTACTGTAGATGTCGCACCTGTGCAGAAGGATGCATTGTGCTGGAATCAACAGCCAAACTCATGCTGTCAGCCTTAGAAGTGGCTGCCACTGTGCCAATTGTTATTTCAGTCTTTGATCCATTCAGTTTAAGAAAATTACACCGCACCCATTTCCTGATCTCTTTTAGACATTCACACATTGAAGATAGTGTGCTATGTAAATTTGAGCAAGTGGTGATGTAAATCTGGGTATCTTCCATAAAGCAGTGGTGCATAAGGCCATATTTTTGAAGATCTGCCCAAATGGTAACATATATATGCTAAACAGGATTGGGCCCAATACTAAACCTTGAGGAACTCCCAATCAAACAGGCACAATACCTAATAAAAACTTTCCCTGGCTACCAAACTGGACATGATTTGTTAAGTATAACTGAAACCAGGCAGAAACTATTCCAGAGATATGCAGCCGGCTAGACTGCCTGTTTTACAAAAGAAAGTGGCTTATGCTGTTAAAGCAGTAGTGAAATTTAACAAGACCAATTTACTGCTAATCCCAGAGTCAGCTACAGTAAGAAGATCATTTACAAGCCTCACTAAAGCAGTTACTGTGCCCCTTCCTGAAACTCGTCTGACATGGTTTGAGAACATGGTGTAGAGATATGAAATTGTTCAACTGATTGCCCACAATATATTCCAGGAACTTGGCCAGAAATTTTAAGGTTAGGGTTATGCTTACAGTTAGTCCTCAGAAATTATCTTGTAATTGGAGAAAATGTAAACATCACCACCAGGCATTTTGTGGACTGGTCTAATAACAGCAATTTCTATTTCAGGAGGGGTGACTCCAAGACTCAATGATAAATTCACAACTGATGTTATGTGAGGGATACTTTAGCCTAAAATGAAACTTATGTTATCCTTCACTCATCCTTCACTTGTTTCTTTCTTCTGTTGAACTTAAAAGAGAAAATGTTACAAAATGCTTGGTGCTGGTACCTATTACCTTCCATTGAATTTTTTTAATAAGTGAAGTCGATAGGTACTAGCTTTCTTCAAAATATCTTCTTTTGAGTTCAACAGAAGAAGGTACTCACAAAGTTTTAAAACCACACAAGGAAGAGGAAATGATGAGCTTTTTTGGGTAAAGTATTCTTTTAATTAATGAACAAAAAAAACGGGATCTCACATACTTTTATTCATTGTATTCATGGACTTCATTGTAATAGCAACAAAGTAATTTCAACCATTCCAAAATTAAGTATTATTTAAATTCAGAATTTAAAAACTGAATTTCAGACTGCGTTCAGAAGTACGAGAAGTTACTGATCCGTATGTACTCTCGATCTTAACAGTAAAGTAATGGATAAACTTGTTACATTGATCAGCTGAAGAATTGAAATTTAAGAAACCATACTTCCAAAGGTGCAAACTCGTCAAGCTGTGAAGATAACATGGAGTTAAAGTGCTTAACGGAGTCAGTGAATGGATACCCTAAATATACTTTAAATTGTGCAATGGCGACGCAGTGGCGCAGTAGGTAGTGCTGTCGCCTCACAGCAAGAAGGTTGCTGGGTTCGATCCTCGGCTCAGTTGGCGTTTCTGTGTGGAGTTTGCATGTTCTCCCTGCGTTCACGTCGGTTTCTTCCGGGTGCTCCGGTTTCCCCCACAGTCCAAAGACATGCGGTACAGGTGAATTGGGTAGGCTAAATGGTCCATAGTGCATGAATGTGTGTGTGTGAATGTGTGTATGGGTGTTTCCCAGAGATGGGTTGCGGCTGGAAGAACATCCGCTGTGTAAAAATGTGCTGGATAAGTTGGCAGTTCATTCTGCTGTGGCGACCCCGGATTAATAAAGGGACTAAGCCGATAAGAAAATGAATGAATGAATGAATTAATTGTGCAATGTGATTTACGAATGTGCACATATTTACTTGTATTCGTGACGAAATAATGTGAAATTTTGCATATGTATTTTGAGTAGATTATATGCACCCAACTATCATCAGCTATGCTTGTTTATGCTAATTTAGGTTACTCTGGATATCTCATGTTGGTCATAATGGAATGATCTGCAGTCTGTTCTTTTTAATCGGTGCATTTATAGGATTTGATGTTGCACTTATTCAGCCTTCTTAGTAAGTCTGTTGAAATTCATGAAAATATATAAATGTTTTGTATGGGACAATTACTTTCATTACAGATGAAAACAGCAGAAATTCGATCGGTTCGTCACTTCCATTTCACTGCATGGCCAGACCATGGAGTTCCTGAGACCACTGAGCTTCTCATCAACTTCAGACATCTGGTCCGAGAGCACATGGATGAGTACTCAAGACATTCCCCCACACTTGTGCACTGCAGGTATGTGAAGAGTTCCTCAATAAGCTGATATAAAATCAAACCTGACCGTGGTATTACTGTACTCACAAAAAGAAATTGTTTTCACTTTTTATTTTCTAAATACAGTGCGGGTGTGGGCCGGACAGGTACCTTCATTGCCATTGATAGGTTAATCTTCCAGATCGAGCGGGATGGTGTAGTGGATGTATATGGGATCATCCATGACTTACGCATGCACAGACCCCTCATGGTGCAAACAGAGGTACATTCTTTAGAGTTCTGTGATCACTTACTCACACTCCACTTGTTCCAAATCTGTTTGAGTTTCTTTCTTCTGTTGAACACTAAAGAGGCTATTTTAATGAATGTTGCCAAATGTTTCCCTCCAGAAATACTTAATTTGTGTTCAAAAAACAAAACAAAAAACAAAAAAACCTTAAATGTTTGAAAGTACACTGTCTGACAAAAGTCTTGTCGTCAATCCCAGTTGTAAGAGCAACAAACAATAACTTGACATCTAGTTGATCATTTGGAAAAGTGGCAGAAGGTAGATTTTTTTAGATGAATCATCTGTTGAACTGCATCCCAATCATCGCAAATACTGCAGAAGACCTCTTGGAAACTGCATAGAAATTCTTCAGCAGGATAGTGTCCTTCTCATAATTCAGCCTCCACATTAAAGTTGCTAAAAGCAAAGAAGGTCAAAGTGCTCCAGGATTGGCCAACCCAGTTATGGACATTATTGAGCATGTCTAGGGTAAGATGGAGGGATTGAAGAAGAATCCAAAGAATCTTGATGAACTCTGGGAGTCCTGCAAGAAGGCTTTCTTTGCCATTCCAGATGACTTTATTAATAAGTTATTTAAGTCATTGCAGAGATGTATGAATGCAGTCCTCCAAGCTCATGGAAGTCATACACAATAATAACTCTTTTTCCACTGCACCATGACTTTATATTCTATACTGTACATTATTTCTGTTAAGTGACAAGACTTTTGTCTAATCATGGTCAGACCTTACTGCCCTAATTAAATAATTAAAAATCAAGGCATGATAATTTTTTTAGTAAATTAAGTGTAATCTAGAGGCTTTTGCCTTTTAATTCAATTCAATTCAATTAGTTTATTGTCATGTGCACAGTAAGGAAACACGTTTCCCTGTACAATGAAATTCTTACTTTGCTTTCCACAGTGAAGTCATACACATAACATACATATCATACACGACATACTCATACAGTATATACAAAAAAGTGACAGAAGTATAACTATGAAATGTAAATATCCATAAGTGTAAATAATATATACTACTGATTGTGGAATAATGTAAACACATGTAAACAATGTATAGTAGTTCTTAAAATTGTGCTTATTATGTAAAAAGTGCCAAGTGCAATTGGCCTATATGCAAACAACAGTATGAAGGCCAGAGCAGATTGAGTGCAATTGTATGCATTAATAGTGCAAACTGGGATGGAGAATATAGTGTGCTACTGAGAAAAAAAATGAAACCGTTTATGTCCACTGGTTATTCGTTTAAAAAAGTCTGATAGCTGATGGGAAAAAAAATAATTATTGAGTTTGGCAGTCCTGCATCTCACACTCCTATACCTCCTCCCTGAGGGTAGGAGTGTGAATATTCTGTGTTGTGGGTGCGTGGGGTCTTTCAGGCCACTTCACATCAGCCACTTCTGATACCAAATGACCAACTAGAAGTCAAGTTATTATTGTTGTTCCTAAAACTTGGATAGGCGACAAGACTTTTGTCAGGTAATGTATGTCAGCAATGATAGCCCAGTGGTTAGTGCTCGACTATTGCAACATTGCTTCAGGTGTCCCGAGATAGAATCCCAACTCATCAACCTTCCCAATCCTGTTCCACCCTCTCTCTCTCCCACTTTATTTCCTGTCGTCCTACTGTTCTATCAAATAAAACAAAAAAATGGATGGCAGTATTTGAAGGGAATTAAATATTAGTTTTTAGATGAACCAAACCTTAAACATTTTTTAATTTCTCTTTGTCTTTTTATTTATATATTGTTTAATAAAATAAAGTAGTATACATTTGCTATAAATAAGTGGTAACACCAAAGCTGCACACTTCAATGCACACTTCTGTACTGTATAGGCAAGGCAAGTCAAGTTTATTTATATAGCACATTTCATACACAATGGCAATTCAAAGTGCTTTACATAAACAAGAATAAAAGAAACAAGTAAAATAAAAATAAAAACAAATAATAAAAATGCGTAAAAACAAAACAAAACATAAAAACAGGTAAAATGTGATATAAAAGAATGAAGAAGAAGAGAAAAACATGATAGTGCAATCTGTCGGACGCAGCACAGTGCTCATTCAGTAAAGGCACAGCTAAACAGATGTGTTTTCAGTCTTGATTTGAATGTGCCTAATGTTGGAGCACATCTGATCATTTCTGGAAGCTGATTCCAGCAGCAAGGAGCATAGTGGCTAAAAGCCGATTCACCCTGCTTTGACTGAACTCTTGGAACTTCTAGTTTATATGATCCTAATGATCTGAGTGATCTGTTATAGTATGTGAGTGGAGTAGTACCATATGTCTGAATTCATAGTTATCTACAGTAAAAACAGTAGGTGAGACGCACATGCATGGCTGGCTACTTCTGCTGAGATTCTGAATTGCATATTCATTAGACAATTTATGGATGGTAGCCAGTAGGCCATGTGATAATGACAAATAATAGATATATTATGAACATTCACACTGTGTTCTTACTATCACTTGTTAAGACTTGTTAATTCTGACATCACGCAAAGCATCTTCTGGGTACAAGCGCTCTACCACACTGTATGGCGAGACTCAACAAATAGTAATAATAAAAGTTTACAAAGCAATGTGATACTTTTAAAAATCATGATTGCAATATATATCCATGCCCAATATCCAGTGGCTAGGACGTGATTAATTTTTTATAAATTGTTTAAATATTGATGTCTGTGATGCAGCAAATCCAAAGAGTGTTGTGTACAACAAGATTTTATATATATAAAAAACACTTTAATGTGTGATATGACTAAAAAGAAGTCATAAACCAATTTTTTCTCTATTCAGCTGAGTAGTGGCTTGGACCCAGAAACGGTATTCCATTCGTCACAACTTAACAAGCAGATACAGAACATTTTTAATGGTTGCACTGCAGATCTTTATCAATAAATGTCTGAATTTCAATAACTGTTTTATAAACAATAAGAGCATCTGCTTTTCTATAATTGTTGGTGTTTGCTTTTTCAGGATCAATATGTCTTTCTTAACCAGTGTGCCATGGACATCATCAAGTCTCGAACTGGAAACAATGTAGATCTGATCTACCAGAACACAGCTGCACTCACTATTTATGAGAACTTTGAGCCCTTGAAAAAAGGCAAAAATGGCTACCATAAGGCTTGACCGTCTACGTTAAACGCTTCGCTGAGGCAATCTTTTTTTTTTCTTTGTTTACTTAATTTTAAAATTGGGTTTTATTTAATGAGGGAAAAAACAAAGCTTATTTATTGATTAAGACATTTGTTCATTAAGGTACATAAGTATGTAGAAATATTTTTAAATAAAGTTTTTTTTTATAAATACAGAAATGTAACTGCAGGGATTTTTTTAATAAAATAAAATGTATAATTATATGACTATATAAAATTTAAAATAGAAATATATAATTTTACATTCAGTGATGTAAGATGACATGACAAAAAATATTCTGTCCCATATTCTGTGATTTATAACATGGCAGTTGACTGTGCACATCCATCGAGTGATGCTGTAAGCTGCATCTGAGCTGTTTTATCAGGTTTTAATTTTCAGGTCGATGACATTAATATAGCAACAATTTCACGATGTCACAGGTTGATCATAAATAGACCATAAGGACAGTAAATTAACTCTCACTTGTTAGCAGTCTTATTGTTTCTTCTGGAATAGAATATTCTCAGTGAATATCCTGTACATTTTGACCTGTCTGTTCCTGGATTGTAAATGTTGTTGTTTTTTCTTTGTAGAATCGGGCCAGTGAATGTTCTGTATATGCCTACTGATAATTTATTACAACAAAGTTTTAACAGAGTATAACTCTGTACCATGTTTATGCACTTAAATTGTTATATTTGTAAATATTTGCTCATTCTGAACTTCTGAAGTGTTGTTCCAAGGATTTTTTGCTTGTTTCATTTTTAGGTATTCTGTACTTCACTGCACATATATTTTAAAAAAGTTTATTGATACTGCTGGTCACAGTAAGAAAGCATACAGAAGAACTCTGTATTATATTATGATAATAAAAATGCTGCACTTTATTTGACATAACTTTGGTGTTTAGTGTGTGTTGCTTCTGTCATTTTAAAATATACTGAAGACTTAATGTTAGTATTTAATAAAAAGTAAATAAAAAATAGAAAGCTTTGTTTGATAGTTAGGTTTTTGGAGATGTGTTGGGGAGATTGTTTGCTTGCAGATAGGTAAACAACTGTTTGTCTTAGATACACAAGCATTATTATTACATCACCAGATTGGAACTGCACATGTCTTACCAGAGTAAGTCACAGAAAATAACAGATTTTAATACAGTATTTTGTATTTCAAAATATTTCTTATCTCCCAAAAGTATTGCTTTTAATTGGTAAAGTCACCTTTCGGACATTCTCCACGCAAAAGCTCCCTCAATCTACACAATGAACTTATTTTCCGTTTAGTCACATTACACGTGTATTGCATTGTAGTAACGTTAGTCACGCCTCTAATGGTCACGACACGCAGAGGAGGAGGTATTTCCTCTATGTTATCTGCAACAAAATGGCGAGTACTTTGCATTTATGATATTATGTTGCACTTTAGAAACATCTATACGTTTATTTTTATTGTTTCATAACCTGAAGCGGTTATGCATATGCGTCACAGCGTTTGTAGGCTACTCGGTCAGGGTAAACAGACTCCGACGGTAAACATCACCAGCCGTGTTCTTGTTCGGGGATGAAACGATAACATCTTTTATTGAGTACCGTAAGTCTTTGCAAATATCAATACGTTAGTGTAAATAATATAAAGACTATATTATGTTGTAAAGCTTTTCTGTCGCCGCTAGAGCAAGCAGCTCAAATCCTTTAACCTGCTGAGAGTTTGAGGACTGGTCGAAGTTCAGCTCGGCTGTTAACCTTTACCTCACATTAATGTGCTTTGTCACTTAAATCGGTTTGTTATACAGTAGGCACCTGTGTGTGATCTTCAGAGACCGACACTTTGGAACAGATGCACTTGTTTACCTGTTTGAGGAGGTGATCCAGCGGAAGGAGAACTGTCAGAGAATAAAAACATAAAGCTGGTAAATCTACTTCAGTGATCTGGGTGATGATGGATCCTGCAGCAAAGCAGAAAGTGATTTACATCACCTACCTCATAGCGGCTCTGGAAATCACCTGGATGTTCCTCCAGTTCTCCATAACACCGGTTTGTCTGCTTTTTTCCTTATTCATTTACGATCAGATGTTAAATAAATAAAACCACCAGTCAGTCTGAACTGCAAGTAAGGGGAGTGTGTCTGTCAAAATGCCTGCCTTTTTTGTTTTTGTGACATTCCAGTATTTTGACATATGAACTAACTGTTATTACACTATTATGTTGTACTCTGTTTTTGTTATTTTGACTTATAAATCATTATACATAATATATTTGTATTTATAACTAAATGATAGCCTTTATTTTGTGCATAATTACAACAAATTTACATACAATACAAAGACACACAACTAGTCAAAAGCTTGGCAATATTAATATTTTTGTTTATTACCAAGGCTGCATTTATTTAATCACAAACAGTATTATTAATAGTAATATAAATAGTAATAGTATCATACAATGTATTGTGCAATGTTTAAACAAGTTATTATTACAAAAACATTTTAAATAATGCTTTTATTTATAAAAATAATAGTATTTTGATTAGCATAAACATAAACCAGAACACATTTATGAAAAATCACTGATAACTATAACAGCAGATAATTCATATATATATATATATATATATATATATATATATATATATATATATATATATATATATATATATATATATATATATATATATATATTAGGGGTGTAACAATACACAAAAGGCTCGGTTCGGTTCGGTACGGTTCGGTTTCTGTTTGCTGTGGGGTTAGGGTTGATGTCATGTTAACAGCAATGCTAAGGGACAATTCACTTAATAACAAGAACATCTTAACTTTTTCTTTATTAACTTTGTCATCGCATTTTTAGTACAGTCAGGATACCCGAGTAAACAACTAGAATGAAATAAATACCTCCAATATAGACTAGTCAGAAAAAAAAACTATTCTCTTCAGAGCAGCCATCTTAACTAAGTAAACTAAAATTAAATAAATAACTGCAGTGTAGACTAGTGGAAGATCTTCTTCAAAAACACCATAATATCCACATTCTCCGATGAGAGGCTTGATCTCTGTGCTGACACAGACGCTCATTTTTGATTATATGGTTTCATTTAGATAGATAGGTTTCCGTTTAAATTAATGAAAAATATACATATAATGTGTTTGTAAAGTGTTTTTTCATGACATATTCACCAGTAAAATACATTGCGGTTGTGTCTGAAACTAATGTTAGGGTTGTAGCCGGCTGTATGTTTGCCTCCCGATCTCTCTCTCTCTCTCCCGCTCCTTCTATGCCGGTCATTTATGTAGGTCCGCCTTCACGACAGCTGATGCCTGTCATTTCTGTAGGCCCGCATTTTGACAGCTGATTGGTCAGGATACCGATCTATCATCATTTGGCGACGCAGCGCGGGAATGTAAAAAGCATGTCAGGAAGAGCGGGAGAGAGAGCGCTTTTTCCTTTGATCTCGTTTTTCGTGTATTTTTCTGACATGATTATGATTTTCGTTGTTTTTGCTTAACTTTCGTTTGGGTAAAATTATTTTGCATTACTTTTGCCCACTTTAAGAAATTTTGTGAGGTTTGAACATTTTTATTTCAATTGATTTGTATATTATTTTTTAACTCCGACAATATAGCTGTATCTCCTCAAGTTCAGTCTTAGTGTAAGGTGGATAGGGAAAATGTCATACGATTTCTATTTTGCAAACACGTAGAAAATGTACTGTTAAAGACATCAGGTAAGAGGTGAAAGTCATCTTTGTTTATTTTATTCAGTATATGGAAGAATGCGGCGCACGTCGCTGAAGACCTTTTTTTACTTTTCATCAGTTTTAGCGAGGTAAGAGGGGTTATTCATGAGTTAGAATTGTTTTATTATATTTATTTCTTTTGTTTGTCTTCACTATCACCCCCTTGCTCGAGTTTAACAAATTTTTTTTTATACTTTTGTTTGAATTTGTTACTTTATTATATTATTTTTATTAGTGTAAATATTTCTCTTTTTTTATATTTGGGCATTATTCTGGTTTTACTTTTGTACAATAAATCACTTTTGTTGGCAGTTCTGTTGCTTACACCCTCACATTGTGAAATTACCACACTTTTTAAATGTTTTTCCTTACAAGTAAGGCTTTGTCTAGACACGAATTCTATTCCTGTACTCAACTGGAAAACCAAAATGTTTCCACACAGATGACTTAAATGTGTCTGGGGGATCTGCAATCTCAGTACTATGTGAAGCAGCCATCCTGCGTCCAGTAGTAATGTGATGCTTACTCAAGTCACATGACATGACATGCACTAAAATACTAACTTTAGAATATAATATTTAGAACAAATCCTCATCATTACTAAAACAATTTAATCAAATATGATAATAAAGATGTGTTTAAATTGGTTCAATTAGTTAGAGACAAGTGACGTCAACCTCAACAATGGGCAGCAGGGGGCGTGAGAGTACCGCGGTACGCCACAAGAGTTTCGCGATACGTATCGTGGTTGGTGTATCGCGATATTTCAGTTCGGTTTTAATATCGTTACACCCCTAATATATATATATATTTTCCTGTGTTCGTGTGGCTTTCCTCTGGGTGCTTCGGTTTCCTCCACAGTCCAAAGACATGCGCTTTAGGTGAATCGAATAAAGTAAATTGGCCCCGGTATATGTGTGTGCACGCATATGAGAGTGTATGGGTGTTCCCCAGTACTGGGTTGCAGCTGGAAGGGCATCCGCTTTGTAAAACATATGCTGGATAAGTTGGCGGTTCATTCCTCTGTGACAAACCCTGATTACTCCTGGAATAGGGTATGAATTATTTCGGGTGTCACTATATATATATATATATATATATATATATATATATATATATATATATATATATATATATATATATATATATATATATATATATAAATAGTTAGTGTGACAGATTTGAATTATGGGTTGTACTATATTTAATGTTAAGTTTTGTCTTGTGTAACAGTATTTGGCGAGGAGGCTCGGGTTCGACACTATTTGGTTCGGGTATCTGCAGACTACAGTCGGAGTGATTCAGCTGCTTGGAGGCCCCATTTATGGAAGGTATGAAATATTCCATTTTATTATTAAGCATTATTTCAGTACTTGATATGTAGCTTAAGTGATACAGTACAAATTACAGTGCAACTTATGAGTAGGCCCACATGGAATCTGCGTTCACAGAAATCAACAGATTTTCAGCCCATCGTTGAGTCTATTTATTGACTTGCGTAAATTTATATTTAATTAGTTTTGTAATAATTTTCAGTAATATTATTGGGTAATATGAAAAGGTCATTTGATTTATTTACAATACAGTTTGTAAAGTAATATTTTCTGTCTTAAAGTAGATATATTATATGAGAGACTTGCTTTGTTTACCAAATAAGTGGATCTAATTGGATTTGCATTGTAAACATTAAATTCAAGTGAAAAAAGTATTATATTTGAATTGATATATTAAGCTTTTAGTTACAATACTCCTAAAATCATTCCACATACATCCACAGATTTTATGCAAAATTCTGCACAGAAATGGCAAAAATGTCTACTATGCCCTACTTATGAGTCATTTTGTGACTTCATATGTTCACATTATTGGCTGTGCTGTCATTAGCCGCTTTTCCACTATCGTGCTGAATCGTTCTTTAAACAGAACTGTTCCATTCCGTGCCAAACCGGGCCAGACAGCACGGATACGGTTTCATTTTCCACTGTCGTGCTGCGACAAAGCTCTTTAAAACATTACACAAAACGCATCAGTAGTTGCCAGTGGCTCCCTTTGTTCAATTAAAGTTAAATAAGAGCCGAAACTATTTATTTATTTTTTTCATAAAAGCAAAAGCAACCATGTGACTAAACACTGTTATGCCGCTCTATCATATAGGGGTGCTAAATATAGGTACATGTGCACCCTTATTTATTCATATATTGCGCAGCTCTGGCTAAATTTTATTTAGAGGGAAAATTACCAAAATGTAACGTGATGATTGAAAATAATTGGAGGGGAAATAAATAATATTTAAAATCTCTGAACATAACAGAAAAATAAACAATGATAAGACAACAATAATAATGCATTTGCATTATAGTGGCAGAAATATAATTTTGGACAGGCCTTGTCAAAGGTGAGCGGGCACTTTCACTAATAAAAACACAGCACTTAAATTATTTCATTTTAAACAATTATTTAAATTACACTGCGTTTTTATATAAAAAGTTGATAATGATATAAAATATACTACATTTTGATGGTAAAATGAAACCAATTAAGCGATGGCTGTTATTTGTTTTACTATTCAAACATTAAATAACGAATGCAGCAAGTGAAAAAAAACGAATATGAAAATATATCGCAGGATTTAAAGCATATAAAGCACTATTATATTTAGCAAAATAATGCTCTATTATTTTTTTATTTTGATCATTTTATTTTTATTATTATAATTATTTTTGTGTTCATAATTAACTAACAAGCTGTAGGCGAATTATTGCTAGACGTTTTAGAAAATATTTGCGTAGCTATATTAAAGATCACCACAAAAAAAAAAGCACAGAAACATGTTACATGCCTCATAAATGTCATATAACTTATGTATAATTGAATCATATAATTGCCTATAGCTGAAATGATAAAAATTGCTCATTTTATTTTTATAAAACATTTGTGAAAACGTATTGATATTTTTTGAGTAAAAGCAATACTGACATTTAAGAATCCATATTTATTTAATTCATTCATTCTTTTGACTTGTTTATTAGTGCATATGCTATAATATAAATCATACAACAGTACCTTGGACAGTTACAGTGCCGCTCCGTAAAGCTTTCAAGCAAAGTCTTTTGGACGGCCGACATTACAACACGAACATGCCGTCCTTCAGGTGGTCTCGCCGGTATTAACAAGCTGTCCTGGCTTTGAATTAAAAAGTGCAATTATTTCCTCGTTTTTTAAAGAGTCTGCAAGTACGTGTTCCATTGATATAGTGATGTTGTTGTGGAATTTGGACATCGACGATGCAAAGCGTGACTTTATTCGCTTTATTCGATGCGCAGCAGGAAAAAAAAGTCAGCAGCGCAAGTCGCTCAGAGCGAGTTTTGTGCTGTGGAATACAGCGCTGTGTGCAATAAACTCACATTCAGGCAAGCGATGTAGGTCTGTATTCAAGTCAATAAAATAATAACTTTAATGAATAAAATATCTTCGTAAGAATGTGATGAGTTATTCACTTCTCTTCCAGAGACTGCTCTATGGTTTTAAAATCCTTTTTAAATATCGTTTAGACCTGGATCATTATTTTATATTAAATGTACTGTAGTTTATTGAGGATGTCTGATGACTAGCGCGCTTCTGCTGAGCCAGCTGTGGTAGCTTAGCAACCGAGTCGCGACGTCAACACAGAATCTGTCAGCACAGTTCAGCACGGTTGTCTAACCGTGGCGAAAATTCCGGGCCAAGAACGGTTTGTAATCGTGCCGCGCCGTTCCAGGCTCAGTGGAGAAACAACCGTAACCGTACCGAAGTGTTCTTAGAACGGTTTGGCACGATAGTGGAAAAGCAGCTATTGTGTCGTTTTCTAGGTTTGCAGATATATTCGGAGCCCGTGCTGCTCTTTCTGTGTCTTGTGGAGCATCAGTCTTTTATTTCCTACTGTTGACTGTGGCAGACAGCCCGTTTATGCTTTTTGTGCATAAACTACCTGCTGTTTTCATGCACGCCCTACCAGGTAACCCATGCATTCTTACACACATACAATTAAGTCAAATACACACTGTACACACATATGTGAAGACATTTGTATCTGTATGAAGGAGCTCAGATGGTGGTAGCAGATCTGTCAGAAAAGGAGAAACGTGCGGAGGCTCTTGGGAAACTGGGCCTCTGCTTTGGCATTGGCATGATTGCAGGATCATCTCTTGGCGGGACCCTCAGCACACGCTTTGGGTAGGACCCACTACCCCACCTCTGCTACATTTATAGCTCTGTAAAAGATTGAAAGAAGTCATTAAGGCCGCATTTTTTATCAATATTTTTAAACATTACTTCAGTTTGAAATCAAATTTTAACATGTGATGCATTTTGCATGATTCTTTGATCAATAGAAAGTTCAAATAAACACGTTTTAAATAGTGTTATTTACTTGTTTATTTTTAATCAATTTAATGCATATACAGTTGAATACATTTAAATTCTTTTTCAAATATTTAATCTTCAAATATTTAAGTGAAGTTTAACAGATCAAGGACATTGTTAACAGCATTTTCAATTGTGTATTTCTTTAACAGAAGGAAAGTCTTATTTTAGTTTGGCTGAAAGAAATACACATATATGTCTTGGGTCAATATTATTAAGACATATATATGTTTAATTGACTACTGAAGAAACCACTGTTGTCCAGTCACTTACCTAATTGACCTAGCTTGCCTATTTAACCACAATAACCTTTAAATTGCACTTTAAACTAAATACTAGTACATTGCAAAATAACTAGTAAAATATTATATATTGTTATCATGGAAAAAATGTATTATTAGAAATGAGTCCAGGCTCATTCTGAGAACGCACCCATATACATTTCTGGACAGAGCTAAATATGTCCCAAGAGCTACGTTTGTTTTTTTGCAGTTTTTGTTTTCCAAATCACCAGAGGCCGCTGTGTATGCTTTTTGAGATCTCAAATTTCTCTAGCGAGTGCCATTTGCACCTACTCTTCTCACGTTAATCCAATCGAGGCCGCTGTCGACTGATTTACTGACTCACCCTCCTCCTTCCTTAAACCCAACCAATAGTGTTTTCAAAAGCAAAGAAAAATGAAAGCCATTTTTCACATCTTTTAGATTTTACCACATTCTCACCCTCTTATTTGCTTGTTTATTTTTTTGGGGGGGGGTTTGTTTTTGTCTTACCTGCTTTCTGGAACCGTTCTTCGCCAGATTTGAACCCTATCGTCTATGTTCAATATACTCACGGATCGGTATGTATCATGGTTTTAGGGTCATGGTTTCAGTACGGCATGGTTTGTGCTATGCTTAGAAAAAATGCCTACAGATAATATTTATGTCAACACATCCTAATTATTGAGCACTTTTAAAGTATTGTTTACTTCTGTTTACATTATGCTTGCTTTACCAAGGCAACAACACATTTTTATTTAGGATTTCTTTATGATTTTATTATGATTTCAGAGAGCTCTTAAGCAAAGAGAGTGTTCAGCTCTTCTCTCTTAATTCAGCAGGAACAGTACTTACAGAAGAAAGCTGATAGCAGATGAGTAAACACAGTGAGTAGCAGAAGAGATCAGGTGCGGAAGAACACCCAGCAGCAGCGTTACTGAAGTAACAGAACTGCTGTATGTCTGCGTCCGTATGGGACGCTTCTGGGCCTAGACACAGACCTCGATCTGGCTTTTAGTGACCACTGATCTAGGCTATCTTTGCAACAACATTAAAAAAAGCAATTCGTTATGTTTTTGTGCAATGACAGCAATGCGCTGTGATTTGGCCTCACCTTGCATTTGCGCTGTATCTCTATCACTTGCCATGGCATGCTGAAACCCACAGAAACTCCACACACTCTCACACACACACACACGTTTTCAGAATGAGCCTATGTTGCATTAAATCTAGTATGCTTAAAAAGTGTTCTATTCATTAAACAGCCCTGGGGGGAAAATGAAAAATAATAACCAATTTTGCAAGGGGGCTAATAAATACTTCTTCAACTGTATGCATATATCTAAGTATGCAGCATACTTACTTAGATGAAAGCACTGATATTAAAATTTCAATGAATATGCATTTTGTGTGTTTTACAGTGAAAGGTTTGCAGCATCTTTTGGGGCTGTCGGGAGTTTTGTTTCTTTGATGTTGGTGTTGAACTTCATTCCTAAACAGACAAAAACACAAACCACTCCGGAGAGTGACGGTATAATATAAACACACAGACATACTGTACACTAAACAAGACTGGAAGGAAATACTCTTGCTGTAGCATTTAGAAACTCATTTTACATTTATACATAATTCTGATATATATTTTTATATGATTACGTTTTTCTGTGTTTAGAGAAGGGCTCATCAAAGTCTGTGTTTAATATGGGGGAAATCACTAGATTGATGAAGTTTCCAGGTGTTGCAAAGACTTTTACGGTGAAGATTATATCTGGATTGCCGACAGGTGAGCACATACAGTATTATCTATTGCTATTTTGACTTTACACATATTGGGGCTTTTTACACCTGATCACTTCATGCTTTTTTCTGATCGGATTTGTAGTTTGCATCTTGTTTAATTTTTTCATTTTGTTTTGTTTTTGACTTTAACCATGAAGCAGTAAAATTGGAATGCTAAATTAAAATCAAATGACAGCATCAGTATCCCCAACACAGACGCACCTGTGTTTCCTCTGTGAATGGAGATGAATAATAATAGAAAAATACAATCATTTACAAAGACACAATTTTTTGTTTTTAGGAGAGAAAGTTATACATAAATGAATTTAAACCCTTTGGAGACTTGACAAAATTTTTTATTTAACCTGTAATAATTTTGTGATGATGTTTTACTATATCAGGATGTCCGCGGGGTCTCAAAAGTATTAAAAGTTAATAAATAATTTATGAGAAAATAAAGGGCCTTAAAAGGTATTAAAAAGTCTTAATTGCGTTTTTACAAGGTCTTAATTTTTGTTCAAGCGTTATCCAAAGTGTTTGACTCCAAAAAAAGCATAAATATATTGATTTTCCTCCTAATATTAACAACAGTGTGCTTGATCCACGCGATTGCTTTGGGCCGGGGCATGTAGGTCATGTCACATAATTAATGACAAATGCGGGAAGGTGATGTGACGGTTTCCACATGTTGCGAAACCATAGAGTGAAACAGACGACAAAACGGGAAAAAATTATTTTGTGTACTCCTGGTTGGAGATATATAAATTTAAACAGTGGCTGAAGCCTGTCACTGAAACAACCACATAGCTTATTCTTTTAAGCTTTGTTTCTTCCGAGCTTATCTGAGTTCTGTTGCATGGTTGTGCTCCATTGATTTATTTAACTGCAGCTGTTTATTAAAACTGTTTATTAAGTTAAAGATTTGATATTGATTAGAATTTGAAGTGGCAATGAGGTTCTAAAATATTCTGAGAAGGTCTTTAAAAAGTCTTGAAAAAGTATTGAAATGACCTTTATAATTCCTGCATATACCCTGTATATGAAATCCTTTGTATGCTGAATATGTACCTTAATTTAAAAAAAAAACAACAATAGCTCAATAAAATGCAGTGTATATGATGCTTTAGTCAATGTAACCTAATAAAATTAGTATATAACATGGGATTTCAAGATCAAATTTATATCAGTTGAGCAGAGACACATTTATGTGGTAAAATGTATATGGAACTGCTCACAAATCATACAGCTATCCAGAGGAAATGCATGATGTAAACAGGTACCCAACAAGGAGACACATTTCAATAGAAATATGTGTTGCTTCTTCAGTTTTGTTATTTTTTGTTTTGATTTCAGGTATATTTCAAGTTATGTTTTCCATCATTGCCATGAACTTCTTCCAACTGAAGGCAGAGCAGAATGGCTATTTGATGGCTTACTTCGGTATAGTGCAAATGGTAAAAATCATATGCCGTTTATAGTAGTCAACATTTGAAGTGGATCAAAAGCTTTCATCAATCTTTTCCTAAAACTAATGAACAACACCAATTTTCTTAAGCCTCATTCACACATGAGCGACTCGCAGTGACAAATAGACAAGCGACAGTTCATTTAAGCGAAGACCGAGCTACTTGTGGCGACCACCATCTATGCAAGCGGCAACAACCGTTGACGACCAGGTGAGCGTGTTGAGCGATGCAAATAAAAGAGCGGCTCTCTTGAGTGACAGCCAATAGGAGCACCTATAGAGCTCACATCATCCTCTCTCAGCTCACTCAGAGGCTGGATGTATTCTCTTGTGCTGTAGACCTACACAGACCTGCACACTGTTTGCAGCAGATCGCCACCCAGATCGACAGGCACCTACAAAGTCACTGCTAGTGTGAATGAGGCAACTGTTTTGATCCACTTCAAATGTTGACTACTGTACATTGTTTTACATTTGAGAACAGATGGTGTAGCTTTGTGAATAAATGACACTAATGTCTTACTGTTTTTTAAGGTGATCCAAGGGGCTGTAATCGGGCGTCTGACGTCTAGCTTTTCAGAGAATTCTTTACTGCTGCTATCTGTTGGGGTTTCTAGTCTAGTGGGCCTTGCACAGGTAAACTGCTATCGGGCTCCTTACTTTTTCTTTTTTTTTACAGTAGTGTCTGTCAAACAGGATTAGGTAGCATGTCTTCTATTAGTGTATTTCCTAATTATATTTGTTTTGTGTGTTTTTCAGGCATTGATGACAAATGTGTTTCAGTTTTGCTTCATCGTTATACCAATGATGTTTTCTCTAAGTGTCTTCAATGTCATCACAGACAGCATGCTGACCAAGAGTGTGTCTCCGGCTGACACAGGTAATCCACAAACATGCACATTAGGGCTGCACAGTATATTTTTCTAGACCAGCATTAACATTGCAATATGCACCATAACACAGGATGCACAATGTCGAGTTGGGATTATAATTGACCTGACACCACTGTTCACAACACCTGACTTGTGGACTCATCACATAGTTTAACCACAATAAAATGAAAGTTTATAATTTTCATGTGTTTTTACCACCTGTAACTGGAAGCATTCCAAGTGAGTTCGAAGAATTGTGGCTCAAAAAATGATAACATTTGTAGCTTTAACAAAGATGAATTGAATTGAATTATTTAAACGCTGAAGACTATACAGCATTATTTTAATGTTTATTCAATTTCTGAACCTGAATACTGCACTCTCAGAAAAAAAGGTACAAAGTGGTACAAATAATGTTCCTTAAGGAGCAGTTTTGTACCTTTGAAAAAGTTGTACCTTATATGGTACAGAAAAGACCTCTCATGATGCTGTTCTGTACCTTTTATGGTACAATTAAAATGATGGTACACAATTGTTCTCATAAAAAGGTACATACGTGTTGGACAATTCCTTCTTTATTACAATATCTATGAAAATTAATATTATTGGAAAGGCAACGTGATTTATGAACAATTTCCATATTAAATATTGAATCATCATTTAAAAGCACATGTTTAAAAAAACTCATAAACAAACAACTGGTAAAACAAAACTATAGATATTGTAAACTAAACATTTAAGGCATTTTTATTAAACATTTGGTAAGCATTTTCTGATAGATACAGTTTCATTATTGATAGCCGCACCTTTTGATGTTTGCTTTCCACTACGCACATGAGCTGGCAAAAGTTCTGCATATGCAAAGTGTTCATGCAGACATTTTAGTATTGTAAAACTAATCAAACTTTGTGCACATCTCCTTACAATACTTGCATAATTATATTTCTATTTTAAAATTAAGTCAATTAAATGAACGTTTAAGTAATTACAAAGGTATTGTGTGAAAAATGGAGCGAATTTTTTTTTAATATTGTACATAGGAGAAAGTGTTTGATTTTTTTATATTTACTGAAAAGAAATTGACCCATTTTGGATAAAGAAAAATTCCTTTAAGTAGTTCCCGAAGAACCATATTTGACACTGTTAAGGTACAAAGAGTCTTGTCACTGTAGTGGTACCTTCATGGATCAGATTTGCACCTTTGACGAAGGATGAGTACAATGCATACTTTAATTTGGACGATTTCCTATCGCACTAAAATGACATTATTATTTTAATAAGATTTATTTACACATTTAGAGTCAAAGCATTTTTTTCGTAAAAAATTCTCGTGCTGTTCTCTTTAAATGGCCGGTTGTATATCATTGTTCCTAATTTTGTCTCCTGTTTCGTCATAAAATACATGGTAGCATTACCTGTTTACTCTCAGTATATGTAGCAGAGTGTTGAATGGTCTTATTGGTCAGATGGCCCAGTCTGTTACTACTGCATTTTTTCTAGAGAAAACAAAGCATTCATTATCATATGTGCATTTCAGCTTTCTCAGCAATTGTATTCATTATATGTATTCATGATATTGTATTGTAATGCAGAATGTATGAAATGTGGCTAATTTTAGATTGATGAATTTAAAGTATTGCTGTAAACCTCATCAAACTGTGATACAGGAAGTAGTGTACAGTATTTCAATGCAAAAAAAAATCTCTGTTTTAACCTTTAATAAGGCACTGATTGAAATGTTCATCTGGAAAAACCCTGGAGGGGATACTGGAGGTTATTACAAAACTTTTGAACTTCTATGACTTAAAAAATAGTAATTAGTGTCAATAAAGTTATTATATATGGTTTTTATTTCGATAAAGCATTAATGTTCATACAAGGTCCGCGAGCTGTCACTGGGGTGGTACCTTTTCAAAATGTACAAATTTTTACATAAAAGGTCCATATTGATTCCTCAAAGGTGCATATTAGTACCTAAATAGTACAAATGTGTTCCTCTTAAAATTTGTAAGTACTAATGTATACTTTTGAGGTACTAAATAGGCCACTTTAAGTACAAATGTGTACCTTTTGAAAAGGTACCACCCGAGTGACAGCTCGCGTATCTTTATTTCTGAGAGTGTAGAGGCTTATTATGACTATAAACATTAATATGAAGTCTATAAATGTCCTATGTCTGTTTGAATGGTGTATTATGATTTACTAAACACATACTCAAGCATATTGTAGAAAATATTACTGTTATATAGTAGAATGATTAATTTTCCAAATAGCAAGGATATACTGTTTGATTATTAAATTTAGCTTTACCAGTTAACAACTAAACATAAAGATTTTAAAAAAATGAAATGGGAAAAATGCGTTTCATAGGGCTTAATAATGTCAGATTTTCCAATATCAATTAGAAAGTTGTGTGGCTGGAATGGCATAAAGCATATGCCCGAGTAATTGGTGGTTCATTCCGCTGTGGTGACCCCTGATAAATCAGGGAGTAAGCTGAATGATAGTGAGTGTTTTGAAAATTATAATTCCGTTCAGAGCACAGAAGTGTGTCCTCAACATGAAAACCAAACTCCTCCAGGCCAAACCTTTGTAACTTTGTAGACTTTACATTCACAAACATGAACATAAAATTGAAACAAACACGTAATTGGCCATTTTAATTAGCAATTGATTGTAGACTTGCGTAAAGCATTCAGAAAGGGAAGAATCAAGCCCTAAATGTGGTTTCTGTGTGGTGTATTTAGGAACCATGCTGGGTCTGTGTGCGTCGGTCCAGTCTCTTTTGCGCACTGTGGGCCCAACCATTGGAGGATTCCTCTACGAGACATACGGTGTGCCATCCTTCGGATACATCCAGTGTGTCATCAACGCTGCTGTCTTTGGCCTCCTTCTAACCACTGGAGGGCGCTCACAGACACATAGACCTTAAAAACTGTGAAAAGAGTTGTTTATCAGTATCTTGTTCCTCACCACATTGTGTGAAAGAGGGCAGTTTAAAACAAACCATGGGCATTCAAACCTCCTCACACACTGCGAAGGAATTTCGCAGCAAATGACCCAGCTGATGACGGTCTTGGAAACACTACAAATGTCATTGTTACTATCAAATTGCTCATTAGCCTATATCTCAAGTCAGCTCAGGATTGTTTTTGATGAAATTGAAAATTGACTTTGCATATAAATGTTTACGTAGGTCAGTGCAAAAGAGTGCAGTGAGGGTTTTAGCTACTTGTTTAAACAATTCAATATACAGTTAGTTATTCATTCTATTGCTGCTGGGGTCAGATTATGTCATGTAAAATGTCATGCAGAATTTAAAATCTATAATCAGATATAATTTTATATGAAACCCCTCAAATGATATTACAATATTACAATAAATTTGGTCCTCTTGATTGATCTGTTTGTATTTTTTGTTATTGTGCACTGCAACACTTTCCAGATTCTCCAAGTTCTCCAAACTGCACATTTTTTTTTGTCTGACACTTTTATTTTGTGCTTTTAATAATAAAAAAATGTTTCATTAACGTTCTTTATTAGACAGCAGAATGCACATACAGCCTCAAAAAATCATTCATTTTAACTGCTTCTTTATTTTTACATACAATCAGAGTGAATCCTGCTTTTCACTCATTCTGCCTATTATCCATTTAAAATGTTATAACATGAGGTTTTATTATTATTATTATAATTACATTATTATAATAATATTATTTTATTATTATTATTATTACTATTAATATTATAATCGGTTGCTTAGAGCTGGCACAAATGTGTCCATATATCCAACCATTATAATCTGTTCCCGCGGTAAAGTTGTGCGGGGTGCATTATTAATGTTCATTAGCATATATTATGCTAATGAGCAGGAGCGCGGGACCGGTGTTATCTCGAGCAGCGGAGATGCGACGAACACACAGCGAAGAGAGCGCGAGGAGAGGCCGGTCGGACGGGAATATGCGTCGGTAGAGCAGCGGTGTGAGACTGTGAGGGGAGAAGCTAATTCCCGAAGTGATTCGCATGAGTCACGAATGGATCCTATTTTAACCCCCGGAAAGAAACTTTTTTTACTCTATTTATTATTCTTCATTTTAATATATCAAGGTAAGCAGGACTAGTAGAAATAATGTGGTCACTTGTAATCTAATACATTATTATTATTTTAAGGATACGTGTAATTTTGATAATTCATTTATAACGCTTGCTGAAATGTTTAAATCGGCAGATGTTTTAGACTTTAGAGGCAGTTCAGACTTCAGAGACAGCTCTGATTTGTTTTTTTTTTTATTACGGAATTGTTTAAATTATCATATTTAATACAAGATGTTTGTTATTCATTTGCCTATTAGTTTTCATTATAAGAAAAAAGTTAGATTTATTAGATTAGATTATTTTATGAAGGTAATCAACTTTTGTGTGTATGTATGTATGAATGTAGGCCTATGTAAGTATGTATATATGTATGTATGTAGATATGTATATATATATATATATATATATATATATATATATATATATATATATATATATATATATATATATATATATATATATAATTTTTTATATAAATGTGAAATCATATTATTAATTTTATCATATTTTTAGCACATATCACGTGGGGCACTGAAAGTCTGAATTTAACGCACCAGCATGACTTTGAAAAGTAAGTATTACCCTGCTGTTTACTATAATATGACTTATCCAATATGATACAATGATCAAATATCATTTTCCTTATGCTTATGTGTTTTATGCCTATTATTAGCAATGTTTATGTATAGGCTATGTAATCTAATGTAATTACAGTAATGGTAGACATTCAGCACATTTTGTAAAAGTTTGCAGCCTGACCCCTGGGTCGAGAGTTAAATCGCTCTAATTTTACGCACGTTTGATGAAATCGCATGAAAGGTCTTCAGGTCTGTGATAGTTGTGAAACAGGCTGACAAAGCTCTGTCGAAAAAACGCCTCTGAGTCTCTGGCTTTTCTGTCTGACACAAGTGCTGATTAGTTGTGTGTGAGGAACAAACCGCTCCTTGTTCTCTGTGTGTCCCAGCAGCAGCGAAAGCAGCAGGATAATGCTGGAGAAATGGGATCCCGCTTTCCAAACGGAGCAGGTATGAGAGCTGAAGCGATGCATTGAGAGAGCGCACAGGAAACCTGCGCTAAATGCAGTGCCATGAGGTTAAATGCATAACATTACAGAAAACAAGGGGTTTGCAAAAGGTGCGTTTTCTTGATCTAAGATAGGGTCCGGGTTATTAAAGACGGTAGCTTTGGTGCGAATAGCTAAATTCGCTGGGACATAAATTAAGTGGAAAAATGGCGTTTAATTAAATGGGAAAATTTATGGTTTCATGTAAAACGTTTTAAATCATTTTTTACCCACTAGTTTGAACGATAATTAAATTAGTCATCAATTCCACCATTCCTTCATGTGTTTAATAATTCAAGAGGAAATAATTTGGATATTTGACCCCTGAAATATCATGCGTTACATTTTTGTTGAGGACGTTGATAACGTTTGACTATTTTATTTATTTATTTATTTTTAGTTTGTTTTGCAAAAATACTCGAGTGATTTGCATTTATTTTGGCTAAGCATAAACGAAATATAATTTTATTATACATTCTTATGTAGCTGTTTTCACAGTGATTCAACAGAACATTAACTTTTTGTTGGTTACCTAAAAAAAACATTTGATTAACATTTCCCACGATAATTAACCATTGATTATGAAATAAGAATGTGCCATTGACGTTTTAACAATATCAATTTACGCATCACAATGCATGTGCTTAATTAAAATGAGTTATTAGTTTATTCAAGAACTTTGGGATTTCATCATTTGCGCCATGTGTCCAAAAATCCCATTGCGCAGCACAAACGAGGCTGATTGCGCCCCAAAAAATCTTTGCGAATTTTCTTTTTAAAGAAGCTGACCCCCATGTAAATCATTGTTTAATTCGCACACTGAAAACACATCCCCCAGTGCTGGCTTTGTTGAGCTCTTTGGGACAAAAGCCGTCATTTCGGTGGCAGTAAAGCGGTTTCAGGTGTCCGCTGGGCGCTCAGGATTGGTAAAGCTGTTCCCCAGAGCTGCTATTCACTGAGACACACTGGCCCCGTTCATTATGTCAGAAAACATCTCCCTTGCAGCCTCGTAAGCTACATAAAATTATGGAACTCTCAGATATCAGGTGTGATGGGGAAAAGCGGGTAGAATAAAGCTGGTTTCGGTCAGATAAGAAAATGATTTAGTTCTGAAGCGAAGTGAATCGCTAATCGCTCTCATGTACCCCCTCCTGCGGTAATAATAAACTTCTGTCCATCCAATGCGCAGCACATGCTTTCATTTTCTGTACAAGCGAAGAATGATTTATTAGATTAGGACTTTGATTGGAATTTCAGATTTTCACTGTGGCGAGCTGCTGCAGGGTATCATGCTAAATTAGATCTTGAAAGTCTTAATCAATCCAATACAGAGAAGATGAGAAAAAAATCAGAGAAAAAAACTTTCTTGGTTAATAAATAGAAACTGGTAGATTCAACAAACAATACGATATCTGTATAGTTTCTGGTAAGTCTAAATATTCGTTTAGTCGACTTAAGGTGTTTTTACCCCTTAGAGTTGCTTGACATTTATTTACCAACACATGTGGATAACATAAAGGTCAAAGACCCTCTGTTAAACATATTATGTGTTAACTTCAATTTATTTTTCTCCAAAGAGAACCTTAGAGAGCAACACATCATCAGCAGAGCAAGCAGAAGCACAGAAGCCATCAACCCGCAGAGCCTCCGGTAAGACTGAATCTTACATTATGCTTCACAATGTTGCACATATATGTTTACATTCTTAGGAATAAAGTTTCTTTATTGGCATTTATGTTTCCATTAAGAACCTTTACAAACCATCGAGTCTTTATCTTCCACAAAAAATAATTCTTTAGAATTTTTAAAATGTTTTTACACTAAGAAAAAAGGTTCTTTGAAAAACTGTTTACCAAAAGGTTCTTTGGGGAACCAAAACATTTCTTCTATGACACACATTACTGAAAAATGCCCTTTTCCCCCAAATTTTGATTTTTAACACTTTCCCCACCAGCATTTTATAAAATGAATATTTTTTTTAATTGTTGCCAAAAAGTTGCTGATCTACACTTTTTATGACCATCTTTGTATTTCGTATCCAGATGTCCCTCATTGAGCTTCCTTTACCGAAATATACTTAACTGTCAATCAACGCCAGAAAAACGTGATCGCTCAATTGACAAGATATCAGTGAAATAAGAAGATATGGGGTGATTTGTTAAAGGGATAGTTCACCAAAACAAAAAAAATTATTTCATGATTTACACACCATTTACTTGATCCAAATGTGTTTGAGTTTCTTTCTTCTGTTGAACTCAGTAAAAGATATATTGAAGAAATCTGAAAACCTTTGACCATTTCCAGCAGCCACTTGACGTCAACATGACGTCAGGATGACTTTGAACCCCAATGTCATGGGATGTTGCATTTTGTTTGGAAATGAAAATCGGGTTGACGTCAGAACTCAACATCAGGCCAACATCATTGTCCAATGACGGACAGATATTGCATTTTGGTTACTTTCTATCGCAACCTGCAAACAACCAAATATCAACCTCTAATGATGTTACAGCTTGATGTTGTGTTGATATTACCACTATGACCTCTATCAGATGTTGGATTTTGGTTGTCATACCTGATAAATAAATGTTATTATTTGACGTCTATATAATGTTGGTTTAAGATGTTGGCTCTGCGTTGGATTTTGGTCACTTTCCAATACAACCTAAAATCAACAAAATGTCAATGTCATTTTACGTTGTTATTGGACGTGGAAAAAACATTGTCCTTACCTAAATCTAACCTAATATTAAAACGTCTTATGATGTTGTGTGTCTGCTGGGTTGACTTCCATAGCATTTATTTTTCCTACTATGCAAGTCAGTTTGTGCAGGTTTTCAGCTTTCTATAAAATATCTTATTTTGTGTTCAACTGAAGAAAAAACTCATAAAGGTTTATAACCAAGATTAATTTTCATCCATTTTTAAAGACCTGTTATTTTGTCGGATGCACCCGAATTTACTTTAAATGCTAACAGTTTTGTGTATGCATTGTAAGTTATACGTTAATGATGCCTGTGATGCATGACCCTTGCTATGAGAAACCGCAAACAATAAGAGTTATGCTCATTTGAAATATGAGAAAGGGTCTGCCCATTCTTTCATTCGACATCTGTTGAACAGGCTGATGAGTGTCATCATTACACACAAGAGCTGGATTCATCTTAATGCTTCAATGAACACTTCAGTTACCAGATACCAAACGCACGCTCAAATGCACACACTATTTTAATCTGCTTTTCTTGTGTGGTACAGGTGAGTGTGCATCTCCTTGTCTGAATGGAGGTCGGTGTGTCCATCCAGACTCCTGTAACTGCACTTTATACCAGGCTGCTGGAACTCGCTGCCAGACAGGTACTGCACTGTGGGTCATCTAGAGACACTCTCTCTGATTCCTCTCTGGGTTTTGGCATGATAAATAATAAATAAATAAATGTTTCAGTCCCCAACCTAGGCTTTGAGCGGGAGATGACGTGCCGCTCTTGGGGGCAATACAACTATGAAACCTTTGATGGACTTTATTATTACTTCCCTGGAAAATGCAGCTACACGTTACTGAGAGACTGTGAAGACAACGCTCGGTCAAGTGTACATATACAGGTGAACTCTTAAGATGTTTTTATATATATATATATATATATATAATTTTTTTCCTTCTATATATAATGTTCTTCCTTTCTCTAGCTTAAAAATACAGTAAGACCATGGTGATAACATTGACTAGGTCATGGGTTTGATTCTCTTGGAAAAGATAACATTTCAAGTAATTTTAAAAGGTAATTGTGAATAGAATCATCTGTCAAATACTGTATGCAAATCTGAATAATAATAATCATGTACCTCCATTTTGCAGACACTTTTATCCAAACAGACATGAGGAAACCAATAGAAGTAATCAAATCAACAGCAATATATAACAGCACTCAGCATAAATGACTACACTTTATTTGGAAAATAAATATTCTCAATGAATATACAGGCCCGTAGCCAGGGGGGTTCAGGTGGTTCGAACGATCCACACCTCACTGACAAATATCCAGAATTTGTCACACACAGTACATGATCTCATTTGTCCTATTTTGACTGCTATGCCATAATAAATTGTGAAAACACATTGAAAAAAGCTTTAGGACCAAGAGGAATCCTTTGTTGGCTGTTCGTACAGAATTTTGGACACCTAATTTGGCAATTTTGATGCCAAATTCGGTGTACTAAATTCTGCCTGAGGAAAGTTGAATGTGCTGGCCAGTTTGTTTTTTGCCTATTAAATTATAATAGGCTACACTTTTTTAATTCAAAAAATTTAATAGATTCCTATTTCTTTCTAATAAATTTGTATTTTTAAAATAAGTATTACATTTTTAAAAAATATTTTTACTGTATTATTTCAGTTTTTAATATTTAGCAAGTGTTTTTGGTACACTGTAAAACCCAAAAAGTTAAGGTTACTCAAACCATTTGAGAAAACCAATTGCTACAAACCATTTAAGTTCAAAAACCAATACTAATGAGCAGTGTAAACTTACTCAAACTTGAACATGTGAGTAAACTAAGCAATTTGAGCACAGTAAAACCCAATAAATGAAGAGAACTCAAACCAACTGAGTACTGTAAAACTCAATAAGTTAGGGCAACTCAAACCGTTAGAGGAAACCTATTGCTACAAAACATTGGAGTTAAAAAAATAATCTATATGAGTACTGTGAACTTACTCCATTTAAATTGAAGTAATGAGGTATTTAATTAAGTCATTACCTTCATCACTGGGTTTAAAACTCTTTTTAAATGAGTGGAATTAACTTTCAATACATTTTGAGTTAGCTACACTAAATTCATTTGATAAAGTTGACTGTTGGGTTTTACAGTGTACATCAAAAAGTGTGGTTGTAATCACAATCCCAAAAAGTGCTTAAAATGCAGTATTTAAACCTCATAATTAAATAGAAAATGAGGTGAAAAACAGCAAAAACATCAATTTTTTGAGAAAAAAAGAACTACTCGTTTTGCCAGGCTGGCTACGGACCTGATATAGACCATATATTTTGGTTCATTTTAACAAAAGCATTTATTAAAGTGTTATATCCATTAAAATAAGAGTGTGGTCAGCGCACATTTTAAAAATAAATTATTTTATATGTATTTATTTGTTTTTCTTGATTTTTTCTATTTATTAAAATTTGATTTAATAGTTTTTCCTAACATATTAATTTGGGTGCACACATTTTTTGGTACTGCTTTATATCTCTAAGTAATTTTGTTAAATTATCTTCAGATTTGACTTAGGTACTGACCAATCTAATGTTTTTGCACATGCTGTATATAATATTGTATAGCATCCAATCTAGAAAATAGACAATTTAAAAGAGATCTGTGAATGGTTTACTCATTTATTCATATTAAACCTATTGTTTAAATATGAAACAATATGTAAATGCTTTGACCCGGTCCCAGTTACTGCACATGAAAGCTATATTATTAATGCTAAACTAATAATAATCAGTCAAATGTTAACACAAAGGGTGCATCTGTAGTTTTCAGTGGTAGGTCAACTATAAACATTTACCAAAAACATGTCCTTTAACAAATGCTTATAGGGTATATGCAGAAGTATGCTGAAGGACTTTTAATTTTGCAGTAACCTTGGTCATACGCTTCCGGTGAACTGTATGCAGTAAAAAAGTCAGCACGCTTGAGGTCTGTTTTCTTGAAAAAATCCACATCTCTATTGCCTTACTGATATTTGATATAAAGTAGGTCTCAGAAGAAACACTGCATTAAATTACATTTTCCCCGCCATGTCTTTAAAATATGGAAATGTATTTTACTCCAGTATTTTTAATGCTTCTGCATTAGCCTGCTGATCCTGACGGGTAAACAGCTTTTCATCTCGTTTTACGTATGAACAACAAAATTAATGGTGAAGTCTATTTAACTGATTATACTTTAATTACATTACAATGATGCTGTAAAAGGAACTGAAAAAATTAAATTGAAAAAAGTCACATTATCTGTTTACCAGAAGTTTATCGTTAGGGGAAGAAACACTAGCTGTGCATATACCCTATTTGTTGTCTTTATTGCAAGTTCGATGCTTACTGCTGAAAGCTTTAGATGTGACTCTTGAGTAGGCTGCTGTTCTCTGCTTTGCATCAGACATGCCATTTGTGTGTGTTTGTGTGTGTGTGTGTGTGTGTGTACTGCACAACTCTTGCCTGAGGAAGATATTTATTGGCATTCATAGAGAAAGTGATCTCATTATTATGGTCATTTATGGCCATTACAGTTTAATACAGTAATTACAGCCAGGGCCAAAACAGAATTGGCTTTGTTCTCCCAGACTCACTGATGGGAATCCAGAGGAGGTGAGTTAACTCAGCCAGGAGTTTCTTTAGGCCATTAGCTTAAGTGCCAATATCATTTATCAATGAATTGAAAGGATGGCCGACAGTAATGCAGAACTTAAGCAGGATTGGCCCGGTAGCTCTGGATAAGAGGACTCCACTCTTTGATGGCGGAGAGGAAGTTTCTTAAGAGCTGTATTTGCACTTTATTTTAGTGAAAATGTGGTTTGACATTGGAACTGTTTTTAATCTTTAGGATCAGAGTTTTCTTTTCACTTTTAAGGTGGAGACATCTGTCAGTTTTGAGATTGTTGGCCTTTTTGGTGGTTTTTTAAGTAATTGAAACAAAACATCCAAAATACTGTGTATTTGAAGTGTTTTTTTATTCACTTGATCAAATTGTGTTTTTAGATTGCAATTACAATACAGGTAACACATTAATTTAATAGTCCATTTGAGTATTTGTAGACTGTCTGCTTAATATCTGCTGGTTCTGCTCTTTCAACAGACATTTAACTGACTGTAAGAAACTTTTCAAGCACATGTCAATTTACTCCATCTCTAACCATAACCACAACCTAACAATCTACTTATAATCTAATGAGAATATGTTGGCTTGTAGATGCAATGTAACTTAATTCAACTAACGAACCATCAAAATAAAGGCTGACCCTTACTGTAAATACTCTAAACTTTACCGTAATATTATTATCTACAATCTACATAATTAAGATGATTTAGTACAGCGTTTTATTTTTCAAATAATTCTGTGGATATGTGGTGTCTGGTTGTTTTCAGTATGAAAAGAGATTCCCAAATCCTCCTCTGAAAACCGTTGATTCTAGTTGACTCTAAGTTTTTTTAAAGAATTGGAGGATCACTTTAAACCAGACATCATCCAGTGTTCATATCTGTTTTCTATAAATGTATGCAAATTAGTGCATATTTAATTAAATTAGGCCTTATTTGCACGTTTAATCATAACACATTAGAATCATACCAATTTTTTATTAATGTAAATAAGAGCACCAATAATGAAAATCATCTTTCTGTTTGGACAGAACTGTGTGTAGGTATTGTGTGTCCACAGTCATATTGAGGAGATATAAAGACAATAAGTCTCTTTTTAAAATTTCCTGATGTTAAAATAGGAGCCATATCCCTCCCATTTTGAGGCCCACTGCAACATGGCGTAAGAGAGTGGTTTCCCTGCCCACCCAATTGATTGACAGGCGCATATTAACAAGTCTTCGTATTAACATGTTTAATCATATCAACAAGACAGGACGTGTGCAATTCAATCGGGTTTAAAAGCTCTGTTCAGCTCTCTGTGATCATAAGTCATCATCAAATGTGATCAAGAAAGAGTTTTACAAGTTTAAAACCTTTTTAAACAGTGCACGTGTAATGAGTTACAATGATTTTACTGTCTTTACTTTTTCAGCACAGCCACATGTCAGTACAATATAAAAGAAGTATAAAAGTATAAAAGAAGACTCTTAAATCAGGTTTATTTTGTACATTAACATAATGGATATCCATACAGCAGTAAATATTAATGGTGCAAAAACAGTGCAAAGTTAAACTCGTGGTGTGTGTGTGTATATGTGTCCACTGTGTATGTGTGTGTGTGTGTGTGTGTGTGTGTGTGTGTGTGTGTGTGTGTGTGTGTGTGTGTATGTGTGTGTGTGTGTGTGTGTGTGCGCGTAATCTTTTTGATGACATTATGTGTGACTCATCGTTACAGAAAGGCTTGATTTAACTGCACAACAAATACATCAAATAATCATTGGGAAATTTCTTGCTGTAGTATTTCTCACAAACGTTACGTGAGATCTGCTTCCTTCATGTCTGTCACTGTGCTGTTTATCTGATGCAGCTGGGGATTGAGGCACACTGACAGGCATGTGGGAATGGTGGGTGGGGAGAACTAGCATTGCAGGCACAGGCAACAAAACAGCCACATTGTTATCAAAGAAGAAAATCTAATATTCTGAAATGTATAATAAATAATCTGATGAAGGTTTTGAGCTGAAACTTTACAGACATATCCTGGAGACACAAAAGACTTCTCTTAAACCTTGAAAAAGGGGGAAAATAGGTGATCTTTAACTGTGGAAGTGAGACAATAAGTTGGGTTCCACACACTCAAATTGTTTTAAGACAACATGAAGAAATTAAATTTACTTCCATAATAATTTTTTTATAAATTTATGTGGATTGAACATGAAACAGCTACGTTGTCCCAAAATAACCTCAAGAATTGTGTTGTGGTAGATGATTGTAGTTAGCAAATACCCTGTTCACCTGCAGTCTGTTTTATAACAGCTTTATCTTATGCCATGCTTCATTGCTAATTGTTGATCTGCAGGTGCATAATGACCCAGAATGCAGTTCTTCTCCTTACTCCTGCACTCGTTCAATCAGCCTCTTCCTGCCATGGGAGGGCGAGATTAGGTTACAGCACTTCAGTGTTACTTTCAAGGGTCAAAGGTAATGAACATTGACAATCAAACACATCCTGTCACTTAACCTGACCTGCATGATATCTATAAATCCCCTCTCTGTAGCATGTGGCATGTTCTCTCTTTAGTGTGCAGCTATAAGTTAAATATGTTCTCTCTGTAGTGTGCTGCTGCCCCATCACATCCATGATGTTGAGCTGGAGCGAATCTCTGACTACATTGTAGTTTCTCAGCCGCATGTCTTCACACTGGCCTGGCAGGGTCTCACCAGCTCTGTGTACATCAAAATGAGCCCTGAGTTTGTAGGACACACCTGTGGACTTTGTGGGAATTTCAATGCTGACACTCAAGATGACCTGAAGACCAGCTATGGCAAGTGTTGCTTTATTTGTTGCATTTGTTACATTGTCAGTATACTTTTTTGTCAAGTGTTCTCTTTAGACAGTTAGTTTGTTAGATCACACTCTCCATGCCAATCTAGCCCCGGTCTCCAGATCCTGTCAGAAAATGCTTGTTTCTTTGGGCATCCAGACAACAAGCCAGCAGAGCCACCCAGTACCCAAACATGTTAACCAGTATACAACAGAATTAACAGTCTCCTATCAATATGAGCCAGAGAGGAGCATGAAGCAGGAGACGCAGTCAGATAAAGAAAGAGCAGAGTTTATTAAATAATCTTAGTTGCGTATGATTCAATGCTCAGACTTCATGATTAATCTAGCAAGTGTTATTATACCACGAGAAACAGCAATGGAAAATGACTGCTTCACAACATTATTCTGAGACAATACAGACCTTGAAATGGAGACACTCATCTCTTACTCATGAAAACAAGTGTCACTTGAATCCACACTTGAATTATAAGAATATAACAATATGGAAAAATAAAATAATAATCAAGCAATTATTCAAGGGAAAGAGTAATCATAAAATATAATAAAAACATAATACGATGACAAATAATAATTAATAATAATAACTAAGAAGTTATTGCAAGTTAAGAAATAGGAAAAACATGAACAAACTGAGAAAAAAAACTTCATCAGTTTGACAACACATGTGCAAGCAAATTCTCACAACACATGCAAGTACAGAAATACGCTGTGTCGGGGGACACCAAATATTGGCTTATCTGGCTGCTAACTAATTAGAGTAAGTTGTGTTGTTTAAGATCAAAGAGGTACGTTTTTTTAATGCTCTGATTTTCAATCATCTGAAGAACTGCCCAATTAACATTAAATTAATTTTAGTCATGTTTGTTACTTTTTTGCGATTCAGAAAATTCTTGAATGTTATATATATATTATAGGACATTGACTCAACATTGATGTCTAAAAGTTAGTTCTGCAGGTATTTTTATGTATTATTATTATCCTTCATATTATTTTACAAACTGAAAAATACATGCATGCATCACAAGCTACAGTCAACTAGCTTTGGGCTTTACAATAGTTTACACCCACACTGTACATTTTGTAGAGTTACTTCAAATAAGCTACTTGTCTAAAGAGAACCATTTAAAAAATGTTACTAGGCAATGAAAAGGAAGGTATCATTATTAAAGAATGAAGATATTAAGATTAAAAAGTGCACATTTTATTTTACAAAATACAAATAAATTAACTGTTTGAGAAGTACTGTATAAACATGGGTGGCACGGTGGTCAGTGGTTAGCACACAGCAAGAAGGTCGCTGGTTTGAGTCCCGGCTGGGTCAGTTGGCATTTCTGTGTGGAGTTTGCTTGTTCTCCCTGTGTTCATGAGTTTCCTCTGGGTGCTTCAGATTTCCCCACAGTTAAAAGACATGCGCTATAGGTGAATTGAATAAACTAAATTGGCCGTATTCAGTGTGAATGGGTGTTTTCCAGACTGGGTTGCAGCTGGAAGAGCATCCGCTGTGTAAAACATGTGCTGGATAAGTTGGCCGTTCATTTCCGCTGTGGGAACCCCTGATGAATAAAGGGACTAAGCCAAAGGAAAATGAATGAATGAATGAATGATTGAATGTATAAAACATGTCATGATAAGGATTGTTCTGAAATGTTTATTTGTTTGTTTGTTTGTTTTGTTTATTGACATAATAATTCTTAACTGCATTATTTCACACCATGTCAATACATTTCTGTAAAATATACATGCATATATGAATATACACGATATAAAGATCATTAAAATTAAATAAGACAGATGTTTCACCTCTACTTTTTGTGACAGTTGGACAAGTAATGTTTGATGAAGCTGTTAATTGTTGACATGCTGTATACTCCATCTAAAAGTATTTTATACAACATTTTATATCCATGTTAAACATTTTTTAAATAGTTTATAATAATGAAACCGGAAACAAATTTGTAAACTTTTGTCATAAAACATTTACAGAAAAAATGAACACATTTACTTACTAATATGCATGTATTGTTGTTTGCTCAGGTGTTTTCACACAGGATTTGGCCATGTTTGGAAACAGCTGGGCTGAGGAGGAGCCGGAGTTAGCCAGATGTACTGTCGTTCCCTCACTCTACCCCTCACCATGTGCCACGCTGGATCCTCATGTCTTATTGGTACCTAACACAAAACACTCACACACACACACACACACACACACACACACACACACACACACACACACACACACACACACACACACACACACACACACATATATTCTTGTCCAACACCAACCAAAGTGTCATAATCAATGAAATGGGTCATTTACACCCAAACACATGGTTGATAAGGAAACTTGTTCTTCACTGCAGAAAGTGGAGGAAGTTTGTTCCACTCTTCTGAGGGAACCGTTCCAGTCCTGCCATGAGTTTGTCAGTCCATATTCATACATGGCAAGTTGCTCCAATGACCTGTGCTTGTAAGTACTGGCATAAGACGCATCTACTGAAATTGATCACACTTCCTGGGAAGTTATAAGCTTGAATTGCAATACTGCTTTACTTTCCAAAGGTGTATACTAGATGCTCATTAGAATAATGCACTTTTTAGCTGTTGTGTATGTGTAATTGTTTCATCTGGTACAGGTCCGGTCCTAATGGTGCAGTTGTGTGCCAGGTGTTCACAGAGTATGCCAGAGCATGCGCCCATGCTGATCATCCGCTGCATGACTGGAGAACACACTTTCCTGTTTGCAGTAGGTCACATGATATCGCACAAATATTTGAATATATGTTGCAGATGTTGTTGCAGATGTTGCATATAGGTTGCATGTTGATTCTTTTCTCATATGAGTTTGTTATAAATTAATACATGGGTGGCACGGTGGCTCAGTGGTTAACACTGTTGCCTAAAAGCAAGAAGGTTGTTGGTTTGAGTCCTGAATGGGCCAGTTAGCATTCCTGTGTTGAGTTTGCATGTTCTCCCGTGTTCGTGTGGGTTTTTCCTATGTGCTATATGTGCTATAGGTGAATTGGATGAACTAAATTGGCCGTAGTGTATGTGTGAATGTGAAAATGTATGAGTTTTTTATAGTACGGAGTTGCAGCTGGAAGGGCATAAGCTGTGTAAAAACATATGCTGTAATAGTTGGCAGTTTATTCCGCTGTGGCGACCTTTGAAATAGACTAATCTGAAGGAAAAAAAAATTAATATTTATATTTTTTTCATAAAAATTATTTATTTGTATAATACAAAAGTTTATGATCATTTTCAACATGATCCCTACAGACTTCAAAGTTACCTAGTTCTTCAAAACTTGTATTATACAGATATCCTGCTCAAGAAACATTTCGGATTAATATCATCAGTGTTGAAAATAATTGTACTGCCTAACATATTTTTTGAGAACTATACTATTTTTTTCTTTTATTTTTGATTAATACAAATACATTTTTATTTCTTTGAAATAAATTTTTTTAGATAAAAAACCCAGATACAAGTATTCAGTGATGTCGGCACCAATAGCCTAGTGGTTAGTGTGTCGACATATAGCACCAAGGTGCTCATGGCAAACCGAGTAGGATTCCTGGCTCAAGGTTCTTTGCTGATCCCTCACTTATCTCTGCTCCCCACACTTTCCTGGCTGTATAATCTCTACTGTCCTATACCAATAAAGGTGAAAACCCCTCAGGTCTTTACACTGGCTGCCAGTTACATTCAGAATAGATTTTAAAGTAATATTACTGGTCTATAAATCACTAAATGGCCTAGGACCTAAATACATCACAGATATGCTCACTGAATACAAACCTAACAGATCACTCAGATCATTAGGATCATATAAACTAGAAGTTCCAAGAGTTCAGTCAAAGCAGGGTGAATCGGCTTTTAGCCACTATGCCCCTCGCTGCTGGAATCAGCTTCCAGAAATGATCAGATGTGCTCCAACATTAGGCACATTCAAATCAAGACTGAAAACACATCTGTTTAGCTGTGCCTTTACTAAATGAGCACTGTGCTGCGTCCGGCAGATTGCACTATCATGTTTTTCTCTACTTCTTCATTCTTTTATATCACATTTTACCTGTTTTTATGTTTTGTTTTGTTTTTAAGCATTTTTATTATTTGTTTTTATTTTTATTTTACTTGTTTCTTTTATTCTTGTTTATGTAAAGCACTTTGAATTGCCATTGTGTATGAAATGTGCTATATAAATAAACTTGCCTTGCCTTGCCTTGCCTTGCCTATAAAATAATTATTTTTAATATTTTTAAAAAGTATTCATTGTTAAAAGTATTCATAAAAAGCAAAACATTGATTAATAAAAAAATAAACCAATTATATATATATATATATATATATATATATATATATATATATATATATATATATATATATATATATATATATACTTTCTGTGTTTCTGTGAAAGCATGTTTTGTTTTGATTGTAGATGTTGATTGCCCTGACGAGCTGCTTTTCAGAGAGTGTATCACCTGCTGTCCAATGCACTGCAAGATTGAACAGATGTGCATAGACAGCAAGCTGCAATGTTTGGATGGCTGCTACTGCCCTGATGGTAGTGACATAACACTAAGTTAAACTAACCACAACTTTACATTAAAAAAATTTAAAGATTCAGTCAAAATCATGTTCCTGTCTCCAGATTTGATCTTTGAGGATGGAGTGTGTGTCAAGGCATCAGATTGTCCATGTGAGCACCACGGTATGCTTTACCCATCCGGACACATCATCCAAGAAGACTGCAACAACTGGTTAGATAATGCATATCATTTCTACTTGAAAGACATATTGCTGCTTGTGTTTTTGTGATTTCGAACGTTCTTCTTTTGTTCTCAGCACATGTTTTGGAGGCATCTGGAACTGCACGGAACACAACTGCCCAGGTGTTTGTCTGTTTACTTTCATATATACCACATGTACATTTCTAATCATTTTTACATTCATTCCTCTATTTCTAAACAGCATTTTCTCATTTATTAATACAGACATTATCCTACAGTATTTCAGTTTTACTATTTTGTGATTGCAGAGATTCTGCTTATTGAGTTAAATGTAAAAAGCCTCATACCCATCTTCTTACGTAATGCTTGTATTTTGATGAATGGCCTTACTGTGGAGGACACACGTCTCTTTAATAACATCTCTTTTTACAAATTTACTCTTATAAACCGAACATAATGTAACAGAACTGCTTCTGTCATAGCTAAAGACCTACATTACTGTACAAAGTTACTAAAAATAAAAGAAAATAACACCCTCACATAACAAAGACACATTAAAATGATTAAAAAACGACGATACAGAATTGAACAAATACAATAATTCTATTTCAAATAAATAAATTGAATAAATTTTGGAGTCTTAACTGATTTCCATACACAAAAAAAAAACAATAATTTTGTTATTTTTGTTAAGCAACAAATCAGAATTGTGAAATTTGTGAATTGTTTCTGGAGAGTATAAATGGCCGGAGTAATGGCTGCTGAAAAGCTTTGTTTAACAAAAATAAGTTAAATAATATAATAAATAAATAAGTTTTACAGTATGGAAAGCATTTAGACATTTAGAAACATAAAAAATCTTATACCAACCACCAAAGTTTAAAACAGTAGTATACTTGTTTCTGATATTGTATTTATTTTGTTTTAAACAGGAGAGTGCTCTGTGACAGGAGACATGTTCTTCCAGTCGTTTGATGGCCGGGTTTACACATTTCCTGCTACCTGCCAGTATGTTTTAGCCAAGAGCAGAAACTCTGGCAAGTTCACCGTGACCATTCAGAATGCACCATGTGGAGCTGTAAGTTCCTCTGCACTTTCATCTGCACCAGCACAAACCTGAAGTATTCGCACACAAAAGAGAAAAGACTTAAGGCATGCCAGATACTGCATGCCAAACCTTTCTTCATCGCGATCCAGAATTGCTCTAGTGTGGTGATCTAAAGAGTAATCTGGTGGCTGGAACACAGCTTCAGTACACAGACTTAAGATTACAGCTTCTAGATTTGTGCGATTAGTCAAGCTATTGACGTATTAGCAGTTCAAGCTGGTCTTGTTACTCTGTTTGTTAGAGTAACGTTTAGATTATAGCTTGTGAATTGTAACAAAAACAATTAACATACATAATGTTATGACAGCTGTTAATGTTATGACAGTTATGCCGAGTTCAGACTGCATGATTTTTAAAGTAGTCGTGTCACAGATGTTTTCATACTGCATGACTATCTGGACTAGCGTTTTGTCGCTGCTTTGTTTACACTGCAAGATGGATTGGCGACAGGGGCTTTCACATTGCATGATTTTACAATAGGAAGAATTGCCAACAACTTCGTCCAAACTACGTCTTACAGCCAAAAACATGTAGTATATCTTTTGTTATTAACTACATAACGAGAAAGAAGCCTTTATTGAGGTAGAAAATGTACATATTTGCTCACCTGGGTTTGAAGGGAATAAGCAGTTTCTCCTTAACTTTATTTTTTAACTTTCTGTATGAAACGTCAAACAGAAATGGGTGCTCCTGTCAAACCCCCACTAGTTTTTTCTCTATTTCTTGGGTCCAAATAAACCGAAAATGAGCGCTTTTAACTTCTCCCTCAACCTCTAGCTGGGCTGCAGGTACACACACACAAGTGAAAGCTGCTCTCTCATTGGCTGTAGGCGATGGCTGATGTTATTTTAAGTCAAAACTCATTTCACACAGCATGACTTGATTCGCCGACAGCTCCAGATATTTTGCATGCCAAATATCTCGCAGGCATCGGCGACTCATCGGCGATTCTCTCAGATCGCGTCTTTGATAGTTTATACTGTGCGATTGTCACTCAAGTGCACGAGCACCGATTTCCCTGTGATTTTAGGCATTTGTCTGCGATTTCTCAAAACCTGTCAGCGAGTCAAATTCGGGGCTAAAATCACGCAGTCTGACCTAGGCATTACTCCCTGAACATGTGTGACCCATTGGTTGGATCATTTATGTAGTGTTGCATAGTGTGAACACCTTAATGATTTACAAACATTCAAGTCATGTAATCTGAACAGCACCGAGATCTGCCAATGTTTAAAATTGTCTAGGGTGAACTTGGTTTAAAAGCTAATTTAAAAGAAGGGGCAAACCAAGCATTTTCTCTTGAATTATTTCTCCAACATTTTTCTATTATGTTATAGTATAAATGCAACTGTAATTGCTTCTTACAAGTTAAAAATAACATTTGCAGGCTGTAAATGAAAGTAGTGCTCATTACCAAATTTTTCAAACTGATAATCCATTATACTTGAACCCACATACTGTAAAAGTGTGGTATTGTTAGAGTTTTGCTGTAAATTCACTTTAATTACCACATAAATTGTGGGGCATAAAACATTATCTAAATCAGTGTCAGATTACTAAACATTTTTAATATTGAGATGAAACATTGTCTTGGATGTGCTTATGTCATGATTAGACCCTACTTAGCTCTGACAGAGAAAACATGAAACGATACAAATCATGTAGAGATTCTCCTCCTCAAAGCCTTCTTTTCCCGAAGCCCAGACCTGTTGATGCTAAAACTCAACACACAGAGATCAGTCTGGTATATGGTGTCTCTGTCTGGACTCTGAACAAGCTGTTCTGCTTATCTGAGCCTCTGAATGACAGAACCAGAGACTTTGTAGTTGATAGAGAGCGAGAGATGTATTTCAGCAAAGCGACTGCTGAAAGATCCTCTCATAGGCACCTGCTGGTAGCGTCCATCATTTGCTTGAATGGAACGATTCAGAGTTGGAGTGGTTTATCTCATGTGAACAGCTCTCGGTAACTCAAATGCTTAATTCCTAAACGACATGATTACTGAATTAGTCAAAATTGAAACAGATGAAGAGATAGGTTTGTGCCTTTGTGCAGACATTCATCCATTGTGCTGGATGTAGTGGTTCTGTAGATCCTCATATTGTGTGGTATGGGATCTTCTGGCTCTTCTAATATTGTTTTGCTCTGTGTTTGCTCTGCAGAATCTAGATGGGGCTTGTATTCAGTCGGTCAACCTGGTGGTAAATGAGGATCCACGCACCGAGATCACAATGAGCCACAGTGGAGAGGTTTTTCTGGCCAGCCAGTTTAGGATCTCACTGCCGTATTCAGACGGTAAATCACCACAGCTGCCTCATCATGCAATTAATATGTGTTTTTACCAAAAAGTACTACCATGGGTTTTTTGAGCACTGAAATGTTCAGAAGTACATTAGAATAATGTGAATTATCTAATAGCAAGGAACATAAATTTAGTCACACTTTATTTGTGATACAATTCTCACTATTAAGAAACCACTTTACAATAACAGTAGATGAATAATGATGTATTAATCTGTAAACTATACATTACTTTATTATGGATTAATGATGAGTTAATGCATGCGCTAATCATGAACTACCTTTACAACATGAATCACAAGACATGTTGTAAATTAATGTATGAATTAACATTTAGATTTAAGCATAATTTAACCATCACAAACTCATTATATGTTAATGTAAAGTTTTATTTTGACTTGAAGGGGCACATTACCACAAACTCATCCTTAACTTCTCATGAACTGCTGTGTTTAAACTGTTGATGTTGTCGGAAAACTTTTCTATTGTTATTCAGTTATTCAATGTAAACCCACTAGATGTATGTGCAAAAAGAGTTTATGAGTAGTTAATAATGGGTTTATGATGATGTGCTCCTCCAAATAAAGTCATGACATAATTATACATTAACATGTAATGAGGTCATAATGGTTAAATTATGCATAAACTAATGTGTTAATTAATACATTATTAACAAACTATCATGTCCTAACAAATAGTTAATGTTGCCGTTATTCACACATGAACTCATGTGACTCAATTTTTAGTTGATGTTAGTTCATGATTAGCTCACACCTTAACTCATCATTAATCCAAAATAAAGTAATGTTCAGTTTACATATTAACACATCAATATTCATATACTGTTATTATAAAGTGTTACCGAAACCATTAACTATGACTTTCATCTCTATAATAAACAGCTGATATCTTAATAATAGCCACTAGTTAATAGTGAGAATTGGTACTTATTAGACTATAGTTCTATCATGTATTTTTAGTCAACTTTAAGGTGTGCAGTTAAAGTAGCTGATCTTGACTGCACAACAGTTCCATTTTGCTTTCACATATGGTTAAGGTCATTTTAAAGGACTTTACAGCATACATAAACAAAACAACCAACCCCACACAGATATTGTTAATAAATTTAATAATTGTTTTTTAAACTATATATAACTGCACCTTTCTTGTAGCAGATAAGCATTCTGAACTGTTTTTAAAATCAATGTCAAACCTAAACCTAAAATCTTCTCGTCAATGTCTTAAGGTTTTTAATGGACTTTTGTCAGTTATTATATCTTAAAGCATACCATCACTTTGGGCTCTATTTTGATGATCCAGGCACAAAGTCTAAAGCGCAGGACGCAAAAGCATTATGAGCGTGTCCAAATCTACTTTTACTATTTTAAGGACGGAAAAATCTGCTTTGTGCCGTGGCGCATGGTCTAACAGGGTTAAGCTTATTCTGAGTTAGAGGTGAGTTTTGAGAATAAACCAATCAAGACTCTCATCTCCAATTCCCTTTAAGAGTCAGTTGCGTCGCACCATAGTGCATTTGCTATTCTCATGGCGGACTTTGTAAGTGGAAAAACTGAACGATTCACTAGCGAGAAAACAGTTAAACAGAGCATCTACAGCCCGAGAATGAGAGATAAGGCCTCATCATTATCTACTTTCACTTTCACTCACGTGGATAAGGAAACGTGTTGTACGCACAGACATACATTAGCCTATACAAAATTAATTCAGTTTGTTAAGCGCAAAGATTTGTTTCAAAAGTATTTCTAAATTCAGTTCTAATTTCCAGCAAACAAATAAATGAACAATAATAACGAAGTGTGGTCAAAAAACCAAATACACATGCAACACCCATTTGGTTTAAAACCTGACAGGTGGGCAAATCTAAGCTTGTTTTTAATAAAACAAATATAAATATGCATATATTAAATAATACTACTTATAATAATAACATTATACAAAAGCAAATTGTCATGAATAAACTGAAAACATGAGCTGAAACTAGTAAACAACAATTGTGGTGCACCTTGCGCCTCATTGCACCGGGTGTATGATAGGGCCCTTAATCCTGAAAAAAAAACAATTAGTACAGTACACAGTGTAAATTAATGAATATACACAGTACTATTAGTGTTATAATATAACTTAGTAGAACTTGATCACTTTTCTATATCTTTTAGACCCTTTTAAATATAAATTTAATTAAATGTAGATTGGCTGCACTGTGGTGCAGTGGGTAGCATGTTTGCCTTACAGCAAGGTGGTTGCTGGTTCGAGCCTTGGCTGGGTCAGTTCAGGGAATGAACAGTTCGCATGTTCTCCCCATGTTCACATGGGTTTCCTCCGGGTGCTTCGGTTTCCCCAAGTCCAAAAACATGTGGTACAGGTGAATTGGGTAAGCTAAATTGCCCGTAGTGTATGAGTGTGAATGAGTGTGTATGGATGTTTCCCAGTGATGGGTTGCAGCTGGAAGGGCTTCCGCTGCGTAAAACATATGCTGCAGAAGTTGGAGGTTCATTCTGCTGTGGCGAACCCAGATTATTGAAGGGACTAAGCCAAAAAGAAAATGAATGGGTCAATAAATGAATTTAGATTTTCTCATAGCATTAGTTCCTTTAAAAAATTAACTTACCATGGGATACCCTTATATTTGAACATCTACAAGTAAACTAAACTAGTTGACAGATATTAGTGTTTTTTTTTTTTTTTTTTTTTTGCTATGTTATAATGATTTACTCCTTGCCTGAATTTGGGTAAATTACAGATTACATACTGTAAAAAAACATATGACCACTTTTTAGCCTATTCGTAATATCCAAAAATGTAAATTTCTGTCATCAATTACAGTACTCACCTACATGCTGTTCCAAACCCAAATGACCTGGTTTGGTTTCTTCTGTGGAACGTGAAAGAAGATACTCTGAGAAATGTCTAGTGAAAGTCAAGGGAAACCAAAACTATTTTGTTACCAGCATTCTTCAAAATGTTTCACAGCTGATCATACTTGTTTGAAATGAAATGATGACACACAGTATAGGCAACAAAATACCAATATGTCGCATTACATATAATGTGTTAAATATTGTGAAAAATGGTTTAAAAAGTATGTGTTATTTATAGTCCAGCATGTGTTTAATCGAGTGATGTCTTCTCAGATATGTTTCAGATCCAGGAGCTGTCGTCCATGTTTGTTCAGGTGAAGTTATCGCAGGGTCTGTGGCTGCAGTATAACTGGAAGGAGTTCAGGCTGTACCTGCAGCTGGAGGAGCAGTGGAGAGACAACACTTTGGGGCTCTGTGGAACCTTCAACGGCAACATTCAGGATGACTTCCTGTGGGTTTTAATCTACTTCCTACTTTCATGCCTTCCTTGCTAAGTGTTTTTAACTCATGTTCAACTTGCGAGTTGATCTGGTTCATGTGTTATTGCAGTGCACCTTCTGGCATGATAGAAAGCACACCATTCTTGTTTGGAAATGCATGGCGTGTGTCTTCTGCATGTGTGCCACGGCCAAGCTTACCCCAACTCGACCCTTGTGACACACATCAGCAAGCAGGTGATTCAACAAGCTACAAACATTTAAGTCTTTTAGGTTGTGTTATTCTGTATGGAATAAATGTATCTCTGTATGATTTCAGCCTCTTATGCTGTGGAGAAGTGTGATGTGCTGACGCAGGAGGTGTTTTCTGCATGCCATGAGTATGTGAGTCCGGTGGGGTTCCAGCTTCAGTGTCGTGCAGACGTTTGTAAATGTGGAGCACTGTGTCTTTGCTCCATCCTGGCTCACTATGCTCGCACCTGCCGGAGACATGGGGTCATCATTGAGTTTCGCTCGCACTTGCCTGAGTGTGGTGAGTCTAACATGTTCAAGACCAGCTTTTTTGTGATTCAAATAAGCCTTTTAAGCGGCATACTGGGATATACTGGGATTACTGGGATTTCAAATGAATGTTTTATTTTGTAATATATATTATAACGTGATTTATTCCTGTAAGTTTCAGCCTTGTTACTTCAGTCTTTAGTATTCAATGATCCCGCAAAAAATCATTCGAATATGTGTCAGCAATCTATAATCAATTGAACTTTTAAACAAGCAGCATTTATTATAGATTTACTGTTAAAATAACAATTGTTAAAATTCCTTTTGCTGCTAGTTCAAACAAATGATTTAACACAAGTTAAACCAACACAATTCTTAAGTTTATTTGGAACAACTTAAATGTTTTATGTTCAATCCACTTAATTTTGTACAAAGTTAGCTTAATCAATCTGTGTTGGGACAACATGGAGTTGTGTGGATCCCAGCATTTTTAATGTCTTAGAGGGAAATTTTTGTTGGACAAAACTTTATTTTAAGATAGATTTCCTACTATTAACAAACTGTTAATTATGAGTTTTGTCTCAATAAACTCCTAATTTTCTGGTTATTAATTGTTATTAAGATAGTAGTTGGGTTTATTATTAGATCGGTTAGGAATGTAGAATAAAATAAAAAAAATATGTGCTTTATAAGTACTAATAAACAGCCGATGTCTTAATAATAGACAAGTTATAAGCCACTAGTTAATGCTGGTGAAAGTTGGTACTTAGACCAAAGTGTTACCAAATATTCTTTCTTGGGTTTAATAAAGAAGAAATATTATATATGAAATGAATGAATATAAATGACAGTTAAATGAATGGTTATTTTTAGATCCCGGATTTCAGGTTTTTTGTTTAGTTTTGGTCTGTAATGTACGGATAATATTCATATTTGTCCACATTTCAAAATAAAAATGTCATTTAAGCATTTTATTTCTTTCAATAATATGAACATTTTAGTTGAAAAATAACAATAGAATGTCATGACTTCAGACATGTTTATATTCATTTTTCGACAACACAATACAAATGTTTAAACTTCAGAAGAAAGTTTGTTATGGTAAAATTTTACAATAACAGTACATGAATAATGATGTATTAATATGTAAACTAAACATTAGTTTATTATAAATTAATGATGAGTTAAGATGTGCGCTAATTATGAACTAACTTCATGTGTGAATAACGGCTACCTTAATTACTTGTTAGTACATGTTGTTATTAATGTATTAATTAACATTTAAGTCTAAGCTAAATGTAACCAACATGAACTCATAAGCTGTTAATGTATAATTATGTCATACTTGGAGGGGCACATCTCAATTTACTTATCCTTAACCACTCATGAACTCCTGTTTAAACTGTTTATGTTGATGTTGACGAAACACTTTTCTATTGTTATTCAGAGTAAACGCACTATATGCTACGCACGTACTAATGGTTAAATTATGCATAAACTAATGTGGTAATTAATACATTATTAACAATCTATCATATACCAACAAGTAAATAAGTTAGACATTGTTCACCCATGAACTCATGTGACTCAAGTTGTAATTAAAGTTAGTTCATGATCAGCGCATACAATAACTAATCATTAGTTCATCATAATGTTTAGTTTACATATTAACACATCATTATTAATGTACTGTTATTGTAAAGTGTTATTATTTACTGCATTCACTCATTCCCATTTTCATTGTGCTCAAGATTAAAGTTTCTATGTGTGCTGTGTATGTGTTTTTTGCAGCTGTCTCGTGTCCGTCTACTATGGAGTATGGAGTCTGTGTGTCTGCATGTCAGCGTCGATGTCTGTTTCTATCTCTCCCTCAGCCATGTGGAGACGAGTGTGAGGAGGGCTGCGTGTGTCCAGAAGGAACATACTTTAACATGCATACGCACACCTGTGTCCCACGGTACAGTATAGTCCAGAGCATGACTTAAATAGTCAACTTTGGGATTGAGCTATTGATTATTATGAAAGATTTCTTTTTTTATCAAACACTCCCTTTACACCTTTTAACAATTACATTTCTCTTTCGTTCCAAATATAAAATTAATTAGGAGCAAGTCCATCTAAATCTGTCAATCACAATTCACTGATATTAAAATAATAATAACAATAATAATAAAAAATACTGTAAAATTTATAGTAGGCTGTAAATACGGTAATCTACTGTAGTAACTGCACTGTAATGTATAAAACAGCACACTGCTGTAAATAACTGCAAAATGATATGTTATTGTTACTGCTGTTACTGGACAATTACAGAAGAAATAATGCAGTTTTACATTGAATATTATTGAAATTACTGTAAATACATGGTTCACGGTCATTACTCCCTTTAATTCTACAAAATGACATGTTAATCTTACTGCTGTTACTCTAAAATTACAGTAGAAATGTGAATTTACATACAGTTTCATGGTCACCACTACCTCAACTCTAACTTTCGATCCACATCTTATGTACAGACTATTGTAAGTTCTACCTACATAACAGAGCTAATGTTGTTTACCTTTGTCTAAGTTCAGGATTATATGCCCTAGTGGAATGAAACCAATGCTCAAAATCACCCTTCTAATTTTAGCTCTGCGATTTGCCCCAGATTGAGTTATTTATTGTGTGTGGGAGAGAAGATTTTTCTAGCCACTGTTCGCTGTAGGCTGTGAAATGTTATGGACCTGACAACCTCAGGTGTTGTATAACGCTTTTAGCCACCTCGCCCTCACATGGGTTCACTTCCCTGAAATGTCCCGTGTCCCACTGCCACATACTCAGTGTGTGCTAGAGTTACAGCACTCACACTGGCAGAGGCTGAGAGAGAGTAAGGGGCGTGATAGAGGGGACTTCAGCCTCTTTCTCTACTATAGACTCCACTGCTGCGTTGTGGCCTGTAGTCTTTCACCTCTAACCCAACTAGTTTTGCTCTCTTGAACAGCTCAAAGCGTTTACGGCCGGCAGACTCTAAAAGGAACACCCACTTGGAGGCTAAACAAGGCTTTTGTCAACTGACTGCCATTCATTTTTAGCTTGGTTATAGTAAAAGAAATAAAAGCCTAGTATAAAAGTAGATACTCATGCGCTATAATAATGTCTCTTTTTCAGACTCTGCTTACTGACTGACTAGTTTGAATATACTTGCCTTCACTAAGAGCACCCTTATAATTGTCACAACAAAGCTTAAAATATGCACATGGATCGAAACCTCAGTGAGGCAGCTGAAGTTGTTGCTGTTAACACACACTTCATCACTTAAACCAACATTTTCAATTCCATTTCACAGTTAAGTGGAGTTAAAGTATAAAATAAATGCAAGCCAAGAAATGTTCACACTTTTTCTAATGTACAATTTATGATATTAAACATAAGAATTTTACCTCAATAAACAACTAGCTAACAGCTTAAACGGCACTTACTCTTCCCCTTTTTAAAGATTTAAAAATTATATTATGATTCTTCTGAGTGTGCCAGTTTAGGTTCAGTTTAAAACACAGTTCAGATTTTTTTTGTTATAATGTGTTCAAAAGTGTCATTTTGGGGACGTGTACACAGGTCACTGTTTTAGGGGTGTGTTGCATCACATGAAAATTAGTTTCAACTTCCCGCCTAACTTAACAAGGGGGCGGAGCCAAGAGCTCCCCCGCTTTGTGTATGGCAACAGACAGGCAGACAGAGAGAAGCAACATGAGTGACAGGACCACCATTCAGCACTCAGACACAGACCAAGCAGAGAATACTGTTGAGGAATCAATATTCCTAATATGCCAGAATATGTCAGAGTGGTACTTACAAAATCATTAGTGTCTTTGTATAGTTTTACAGCCGCTACGATGCATGCGTCATCCGTATAGGGAAGTAATGATTAGCAGGTTTCACTATTAACCGCGCTTTAATTCGTCACGGTTAAGTAATCATAAAGGCTTCTCAACACCGTGTTTCTGCACGGATCAAAACGGCAACAAAGTCAACTGTGTGCTACTTTAAAGTTCTCAGCTTGTACACCGAGACTAATAACGACGCACACTGAATTAACTTTGACTGAGGCTATAACTAAGGCAAATTTGCTATTTCTAATAGAGGGACGCGCATGTGAGGCAACGCTCTTACACTTTCCAGCTGCACCTCAGTTCTAATAAACAGTTAATATATTAATAATAGGCAGGTAATAAGCCAGAAGTAAACCATGTAAACTATTACTTAAACTAAAGTTTTACCCAAGAAATAAATGGGACAAGGTAACAACTACACTCTCCCTACAAGCAAATGTCAATCTAAGCAAAACAAATAGACATCCAGTATAAAAGTAGACACTCACGCGGTATAGTACTGCCATCAGTGATTTGAGTGAATTGTTTCTTTTCAGTCTTCTTGTTTAAGGTGAAGTTTCACTTAAAAACATAAATTTTCTCAATGTTTACCCACTCTCTGATTGTTTTAAATCTGTATGATTTTTTCTTCTTTATCCGCTTTAAATATGCTGGTATCCAAACCGTTGATGACAGCCATTGAAGTATTTTCACGATTATGAATGTCAGTGTTAACCATCAACAGTTTGGATACCAGCCTGTTTAAAGTGGATATTGTGTAAATATTAAGTACAGTTTTTCGTGGTCTTGGGTGTATAGAGTAACATTTATTCCCCACATACAGCATAAAATGTAGTATCTAATATTTTTTGTCTAATATTTCTATGTATATTGTGTTTCAGAAATGAATGTCCGTGCAGTTTTCTTGGTGCTGACTACTCTCCTGGAGACGTGATTATAACATCATCAGGTGTACAGTAAGACTGCTTTATTCACTCATATTAAACATTACCACACTGACCTTGTAAGATCATAATGTTTCATACAGTACATCACAATCATATACTGTATAAGTATGTCATCATATTTGGTAACACTTTATTTTGATGGTCCATTTGAGTATTAGTAGACTGTCTGCTTAATATTTGTTGATACTGCTCCTTCAACAGACATTTAACTGACTATAAGAAACTTTGCAAGTACATGTCAACTTACTCTAACCATAACCCTAACCCTGACCTAACAGTCTCTAATGAGAATTAGTTAGCATGTAGAAGGAATGTAACTTAATTCAACAAACAGACTATCAAAATAAAGTATGACCTCATTTTTCATATATACTGTATCACTGCAGCCCTGGTACGCTAACTTCCTCATCAGTTAAAACCTTGCTTTTTAACCTGAACAGAATTTGCCAAGATGGAAAACTCGTTTCCCAGACCTCAATTATTGGTGAGTATTGTATTTCAGCATCCCGATGTGCTTTATCCAAGTAGAACTCATTGAATGCCAGCATTTTTTGAAGTTTGTTTGAATCTACGGATCTGCAGTGCTGAAGTCAAATGTGCTTTCCTGTCTTTTTTCTCTCTCAGAGACCCTTTGCCCAGCTGGGCAGTTTTATGAGGATTGTGGAAATCGAGTCGATGGCCCCTCTGCCAGTAAAGGTTTAGCCTGTGAACAGACCTGCGAGACATATTTGCTAAACCTCACCTGCTCCACTCATGAGCCGTGCGTGCCAGGCTGCGTCTGTCCTGCAGGGTGAGTGGGCTCTGTGATGTCTTCATTCTCAATGTCTCTTATCACTTACAAGAAACTTGCTGTTGTGGACCATATTTGTGCCATGAATAACCTAGTTGAAGTTCAGATGTTAGGGCTGCACGGTGGCACATTGGGTAGCATGTTCGCCTCACAGCAAGAAGGTTGCTGGTTCAGCCATGGCTGGGTCAGTTGTCATTTCTGTGTAGAGTTTGCACGTTCTACCCGTGTTTGTGTGGGTTTCCTCAGGGTGCTCCGGTTTCCCCCACAGTCCAAAGACATGCGATATAAATGAATTGGGTAGGCTAAATTGTCTGTAGTGTTTGTGTGTGGATGAGTGTGTATGGATGTTTCCCAGTGTTGGGTTGTAGCTGGAAGGGCATCCGCTGCATAAAACATATCCTGAATAAATTGGCGGTTCATTCCACTGTGGCGACCCCTGATTAATAAAGGGACTAAGCCGAAAAGAAATAATTGAATGAAGTTCAAATGTTGTCAGTCTAATACATTTCAATTTCAAGGTGTTCAGCAAAGCTGAATGAGTAGGCAAAAGGAAAAGAAAAAGACACTCAAACATCCGTCGCAAAATAAAATGTTACATTATTGAAATAAATAGAATAAATAAATAAATACATAAATAAAATAATTTTGCGGTAGCGTGACCCTCACACACTTCTCATCAGAGCTCGCTGAACTGAACTGAACTCCCATACATGCGTGCTTACATCTAAAAGGTAAAACAACCACAGAAATAGTCCACCTAAAGGGGATATTTATACACAATGCATTTTAAACATTAAGTGACGTTAAAATATCACAATAAATAACCTTGAAAAAAAACAGAGCAATCACTAACTTACCAGACTGCTGTTGTGTTTGCGATAAGGAGGGACGAGGCTGAATCCAGCTTTTTATTTGCAGCTTCTTATTGACTCTATGCGGTCCACCTTAAAAAACAGCGATGCTTCCCTTTTTCAGCTTTTTAATTCACGCTCAAGAGAACACACTGAACAAGGGCTTATTATACTGTTCTGGCGCCATCTTGTGGATAGACAACGTCAACTGTCTTTGGCCGCCGGCGAGCTTTCAGAAATTGTAAATATTTTAAAATAGGCACAATTCTTACAAATAAACTGCATAGTTGCAATCTAAGCAGCTACATTCTTGACTAAAAAAGGCTCAAAAGTACATTTCTATTGTGTGTAGTACATTGTCTAAGAACAGTAATATTTATCAAACTGTAGCGTCTTTGCTTGTTGCTTGCTGTATGTGGGCGGAGTAATACACAGAGGTAAAAGGTGAAGTGGCCTTTGTGTGATGTTTCTGGCAAAATATTGCACAGCTATCAGCCAATCAGATTCATGAACCAGACAGAACTGTTGTATAAATATTTTTATCAGTTGGAAATGTGTGTAAACAGTGTGTAAAGGGGCTTAAAAGCAGCATAAATTCCTCCATATTAAACTTTTCTGACACCTGTGTTGAACTAAATTGGGCATGGTAATGCTATATACAGTATAGCATGTCCTGTTTTGAGGTAGATGTCTGGCTATATTGCATTTTATTTCGGTCAAACTACTCCTTTTCTTATTTGTTGTGGACTGAGATTCATCTTTTCAGTGGTCTCGCTTGCTTGTGGACTGTTACTGTAAATATAATTAAATGTTTTATTGAGTTTTTACTGTTTAAACTACTAGCTGACTGTTACAAATCCTTGCTCATTTGAAAGCTCACTCAAACATCATTAGCTTTCAGGTAGGACAACAACAAAAAAAATATATATTAAATGCAACTACAGTTCATCTAGAAAGTATACGTAGCACTTCACTTTTTCCACATTTTTTATGTTACAGCCTTATTCCCAAATAGATTAAATTCATTTATTTCCTCAAAATTCTACACACAATACCCCATAATGACAATGTGAAAAAAGATTTTTTGAAATTGTTACAAATGTATATATATATATATATTAAAAAAAAAAAAAAAAAACGGAAAAATCACATGTACATAAGTATTCCAAGCCTTTGCTCAATACTTTGTTGATGCACCTTTGGCAGCAATTACAGCCTCAAGTCTTTTGAATATGATGCCACAAGCTTGGCACACCTGTCTTGGGAAGTTTTGCCCATTCCTCTTTGCAGTACCTCTCAAGCTCTATCAGCTTGGATGGGAAGTGACGGTGTGCAGCCATTTTCAGATCTCTCCAGAGATGGTTAATTGGATTTAGTTCTGGGCTTTGGCAGGGCCACTCGAAGACATTCACCGAGTTGTTGTGCAGCCACTCCATTGATATTTTGGTGGTGTGCTTTGGGACATTGTTCTGCTAGAAGATGAACCATCGCCCCAGTCTGAGGTCTCTGTACATTGCTGCATTAATCTTTCCCTCTATCCTGACTACTTTTAATTCCTGCTGCTGAAAAACATCCCCACAGCATGATGCTGCCACCACCATGCTTCACTGCAGGGATAGTTTTAGACTGGTTATGAGCGGTGCCTGGTTTTCTCCAAACGTAATGCCTGGCATTCACTCCAAGGAGTTAAATTTTAGTCTCATCAGACCAGAGAATTTAGTTTCTTATGGTCCGAGAGTTCTTCAGATGCCTTTTGGCAAATTCCAGGTGGGGAGTGGCTTCGTCTTACCACTCTATCATACAGGCCAGACTGGTGGATTGCTGCACAGATGGTTGTCCTTCTGTAAGGTTTTCCTCTCTCCACAAAAGAAAGCTTGAGCTCAGTCAGAGTGACCATCAGGTTATTGATTACCTACCTGACTAAGTCTCTTCTCACCCGATCACTAAGCTTAGATGGCCGGCCAGCTCTAGTTAGAGTCCTGGTGGTTCCAAACATATTCCACTTACGGATGATGCAGGCCACTGTGCTCATTGGAACTTTCAGAGTAGCAGAAATGTTTCTGTAACCTTCCCTAGCCTTGTGCCTCGAGACAGTTCTGTCTCAAAGGTCTATAGACAATTCCTTTGTCTTCATGCTTGGTTTGAGCTTTGATATGCTGTCAACACTGAGACCTTATATAGACAGGTGTATGCCTTTTCAAATTATGTCCAATCAACTGAATTTACCCCAGGTTAACTCCAATTAAGCTGCTAAAACATCTCAAGAATGATCAGTGACAACAGAATGTACCAGAGCTCAGTTTAGAGCACAGGTGTCAAACTCAGTTCCAAAAGGGCCGCAGCTCTGCACAGTTTAGTTCCAACCCTAATTAAACACACCTGATCAAACTAATTGAGTCCTTCAGGCTTGTTTGAAACCTACAGGTAAGCAGGGTTGGAACTAAACGGTGCAGGGCTTCGGCCCTCCAGGAATTGAGTTTGACACCCCTGGTTTAGAGCTTCAATTTAGTTGCAGAGCTTCATTGTCCTTATGGGGTATTGTGTGTAGAATTTTGAGGAAATAAATGAATTTATTACATTTTGGAATAAGGCTGTAACAAAAAAAAGTGCTATGAAAATTTTCTGGATGCATTATAGAGCCAAAACAGAGGCAAAATAAGTTTTGAGTCTCTAGTGAAGCTTAAGTCGTTTGAAGTGCTTTAAAATGTGCATTTTTTAATTTATGTTTGACGTAATCTCAACTGAAAAAAAGAAGATAGAGTGGGACATAGAGTAGCCCCTCCCGTTTTAAAAAAGCAGCCAATAGCATTTTGTTTCATCACAGATCTGCCAGGTAAAGTGGTTGAGCTCAAGTGCATTAAATGAAAAGCAAATGAGGAGCATCTTGAAGGGGGCAGGGCATATCATATACTAGAGAGCAATGACTGGTCAAGATTTGTATAAGGGGACATGAAAAAAAAAACAATGGTTCATTAAGGTGGAATAGACAAACTACAAGCTTCACATTTTTATATCAGTTTTATATCTTCTAAACTCATATTTTGTCATTGCATATTAGCTTGCATATTAACTGTTTTTGAGTACTTATGAAAGTACATTTAATGCCTAATTCTTTAACAATGAAACAATCCTAATTCTAATTCTATGGGACAATCCTATCCCATATCTGAAGTTAACTGCTGCAACAACAAACTAAGATGCTAACAATTAATAACCAGACAATTTGGAGTAGTTAATACTCTGAAAAAAAATGGTTTATTGCAAATTGTTGCAACTATTTATATGGGCTGAGTTTAATTAAATTGAACATTACTAAATCTCAGTTTAAATTTAGCCTTATATTTATTATTTGCAACCATTTACCTCAAAAACATTAGTAAATCCAATGAATCATTATGTGTTATATCAATATGTGTTTATTATGTTTGTTTGTAAAAGTGTGTGTTAGTTTTTTGTAAGTTATTTATTTATTTACTTGGTTTTATTTATTTTTTGTTGACATGGCACCATCAATGAACTTCAGTGGAACCACAATGTGTCCATTAATCCTATGCACATGTTAGTTAAAAGTCTTGCATTTTACCTTAATGAATGAATGTTTTTGATGGAAGTGAATGCAAAAGCACTTTTATCATAAAAGTACATGTATCACCACTCTGCTTTTTCAGGGAACCAAGCATTTCTGGCAGATCTTGAGCTTTACCAAGCTGGTTGCTTTTGTTTTTATCTACAGTTTTCAATGACTCAACTGCATGTAACATTTTCATAAACACTGATCTCTTCAAAAGAACCAGTGTGTTTAATTCCTCCCCCTAGTATATTTAGTATTTTTATATATTTAAAGGTTAGCTGCTTCCGTGTTTTGCAGTGATGCAGAGGATTTAGCTGGTGAATGGCTTTATGTGTATTTACGTGTGAGATGGTGCAGTGATCCATGGCTAAGCTCAGTGGGTGGAGTTTCATCAGGAACTACTCAATTCCATTACACATGCATGTTTTCTATAGCTAATCTGGGTTTAATAGTGTCTTTAATCAAATTCCATTCAAATAGTTTCTTCACATAACCAAACCGCCTTAGCTTCCCCTGCAGATGCAGAGCTTTAGCATAAGATGCAAAGTAATGTAGATCTGCAGAAGCATACAAACCAC